TTTGTTCAAATTTTCACTGATATTTTTCAAATATCTTAAACTTTACAATAAAAGTAACTTGGTATGAAGGTTTTGGTTTCCTTTAATCATCTATTTAGAAAATGTCAATAACAGTCTGCATCTTTTAAAAATATTCCATTTACAAAATGGTGACTATTGTAATCTTTCTTGCAGTATGATGGAATCAATTTCAGAAACATAATTTCATTAACATTACTGTGGTTTTTGTATTCTTTCATAAATATTGGTAAGTGATGCTCGGGATTATTTGTTGTAGTTTCTGCTATTCTTGTTCTTGAAATACTTTGACCATCTACAATTTATCAATATTAGCCCATACACACCCATTCAGACATGAAGCTGTATAATGCAGTAGCAAAAATTAATGAGATGCTAGAACACTAAGTGTCACATATTCATTTAATTGGAAGTGATATTGATTTTACTGCAGCATTTTTAATTTTTGTTAGATATTTTCTGTTTTTAAAGGGGGGGGGGCTTTTCTGAACAGATCTCACAGGAAATGTGATATTTGTGAAAAGTATATTCAATGTTGTAATCTATGTAATTGCTAGTTCAGAGTTGATATCATTTTCCATTCTTCCATAGGAAGTTTATGTAGATGGAAATAAAACTAGCCTTGTTAAATTGCACATGTATGTTTATGAAGCCAGAAGGTTCATGCAAATGAAAAGAAAAGTTCAGGTAGAATTTGATTATCTGGTAGCCTAAATTTGACCTAGTATCTCACACCTGTATTCTTGTGATGCTTATATGTATCTTACAAGTCCATCCTAAAAGTGCAAGCCAACCATTTCACGCTCACAGTTAAACTAATGTACATACATAACTTGATTTATAATGCATAATAGGATTAGGTTAGTCTGTAACACAACCTGAAAGTGTTCCCTGTTTGAAAACCCCAGCTGTTTATCTGCTAGTACACCTGATGTTCAGGTTCCAGATAAATTAATTGAAACATCTGATTTCATGGTGGTCGTAATAAAAACACATGTTTCATCAAGTTACGTGTACTTTCCTATAAACTTGTGAATATACTCATACAAATGGTAGGGGCAGTCAATTTTTAAATAGATTTTTTTAAATAAGTAATGACCAACATTCAGCCTTCTGCTATTTTGTGCATGAGGGCTATTGTGCACTGGATACAAAGTATTTCCTTGAAAAAAATGAGAAAAAAAGCTGCTAAAATTGTACCTTATTTTAGACTTGTGACAAAAATCTGGAGGCATTTAAATTCTGAAATAGAATGTACATTTTGCATTTGCTTTGCATATAGATTTGCCTAACACGTGCAAGAGTATGCAAGACCATACCAATGTAATTCCCAGTTTCCTACATAGTACAAGAATGGGAAGAGTTACTTGTAATATGGGCAATGAGAAAGAGGAAGAAGGAAAAGAAGGAGGGGGGGGGGGGGGCTTTAAAATTTGACCTACACTTCCGATGCCTTTGTCTACTAATAAGCTGAGGATAGCTAGGTCCCATGATATTAGCAAACAGCTGTATGCCAGACACATAGACGAGTGCCAGGGGGACGTCCAACTCAACTTGTACTATATCATCCTAGCTGGTAGCCTCAACACTACTACTTTGTAAAAGATAGTACTCCATGTTTGGATAGATGTTTAAGAATAAAACAAGTTTCACCTTTTGAAATATGTGAACATTAGTACATTGACCTCTTCAATCATTCAGATTAAAATGTTCATCTGAAAATTAATGTTTGGTTTGTAATCTTTTCAGACTTTGGACAAATGAGAAAAAAAAATGTTCATTTCATATAATTATATGTATAGATTATAAGTTAAATAAAAGAAGGAAATCTAATCGTTCTTTTGAAAGAAGAGCAAACTACAGGTGAAGAATTTGCTGGAAAGAAGTCTTCATGTAATCCTTACATTTGATTTACAAGACAGCTGATCTCCTTTCCACAGTCAAATAAAAACAAATAAATGGATATATCCTACTCATTGTCAAATAATACAAAATGCAATAGCTAAAAGCCTTTCAATTTATAAACATACATTAAAACATGATGAAAGGAAAACCCTTGTAATAAGTTGATATGTATGAAAGCAGAAAAATAACATTAAAAGAATGGCAAGAGTTTGAAATGAATCAGATCAATAGTAAGGAAGTAATGAATGTTTGAATAGGAGATCACTAAGTTTATGGGAATCTCAAATTGGTAGTTTGGTCAGTGGATTGTTACGTAGGATGAGGATAACTCTCCCATTTGTCGTGTACAAAAATATCATTGTTTTCTGTTTTTCTTGTAAGTTCTTTCTCCATTGGGGCACTACAGAATATATTATAGATAGCATATTATTATAGGTCCTCTAAAATGAATAGGCCCTCCTGAGCCATGAAATTTTGAAAAATTATAATTTTTAGTGATTTTATATGTTGGAACAGATGGGAAAAATAATTCGGCACTACATCACATCGACATTACCTCTTCAGCCAATTTGAAGTGCCCATATGTATAGCAATTACAACATTCAAAAATTCTTAACTCTCTTATTTATGAACAGATTTAGTTGAAACTTTCATCAGTTTCCATCTCTGATGTGTCTGCTTTCTTTTTGGGTTGGTTGGGGACAAAGTAATAACTATGTCAATCGAATGTATATCAAGGTCTGTAAATTGAGACTATGAAATTCCTCTCTGACAAAAGCACCTGTCAGTCTATCTTGGTAATTGACTACCAGTGGAATGTGGCATAGCAGAGAACATAAGGCCAACTTCTAGCCAATGAAAAGTGATTAGAAATACAGAATAGAATGTGAAGTAAAAGTTAGTAGCCTCGGTCTCCAGACCTTCCCTAGTGTCTGTCTCTTGTTATTAAAAAAAAGAAAAGTTTGGGGGCCAAAGCATGAAATTCAGAAATGAAGAGTTGCATTCTACATTTAAATCTGTTATTTGCTTGATCTGCAAGTAATTTATGACTGAATAATTACAAAATCAGATAATAAGCATATCAGACAACATAAGGCCAACTTTTAGCCAATGAGAAGTGATTTGAAAGACTAGACTGTAGAGTAAAAAGTTTGTAGTCTCTTTGTCCAGACCTTTCCTTGTGTCTGTCTTTTGTTATAAACAAAATAAAATTGTTTGGGGGCCAGCCAAACCGCCAAAGCATGAAATTCGGAAATGAAGAGTTGCATTCTACATTTAAATCTGTTATTTGCTTGATCCGCAAGTAAATTTACCACTGAATAATATGAAATTGTTTCATCAACATGAATCAGAATTTGCATGGATTTTGATTGTGTGAAGAAATGTATGACTTTTTACAAATTGATTAAAGATTGATTAATCATTGAATGATCATTGATCAATCAAATGATTATTTAAAGTGACCTAGATTTGATAAAGTGACCTGTGATTGTGCTATTGTGCTATGATGGTTGCTCATAATGCCCAGATTGAGAGAGAAAGGGGAAAAAGACTTTGATTGTTTATGGTTGTAAACAAATGATTTTAACTTGAAACCTATCGCATCATTGTATGCCTACTGTCTACTATTTTGGGTTTGGATTCTATTTCACACAGAAGTCATGAAAGTTTATCACATTTAGGAACAGAAAATGATTGATTATGGCAAGAACTAGTGGATTTTGACAGCTATGACACCCTAGAGTCAAAAAGTTTGGCTGTCAAAGGAGAGGTCACTGTTATAAATAGACAGTAACAGTCAACATTCATAACAATCATGTTGTAATAGTTGGGTGGAAAACTATGTTAATTTCATTGAGAATAATTTATTTTCAACCTCACAATGATTGATGTATGAAAGATGCTTGGATGGTAAATAAGAGTTTGACCTTGTTTTAAATTGTATTTATATTTGTTTATCTTTTATTCATGGTATTTTTCACTTGAGAGATAGAATACCCTGATCAGCATGAATGTACTTTCGTTATAGGGGCCCACAAATATAAATGAATATTGTATAGCTAGTAATGTTGAATTGTTGCAAAAAGGCATTGCTCTTTTGAATACATGATAGTCTCCTAGTTTTGTTTAACTGATAACACTGATAATGTCTATATGTCTCTGTTATTAAGTATTAGCCAGAAGGGGAGTTAACTTGTATATACTTACACAGTTATATAATATATTATGTTCATTAATTCTGTTTGGGTCATATGGACATGACCTTTTTGATCTACAATCATTTACTGAGAGCCAGAAGGGCATTAATTGCTATACTTTTATAACAGACTCGACACAAAACCTTATCCATTGGTAGTAGGCAGCTAGTACTGACAGCTGCTTTGTTGTATGATGTAATAGATGTACTTCTCTGAGATAGAGAATCTCACTCAATTAAGTGGGTGTGGTAGTTGGTACTACATGGAATATAAAGGTGTAGTCTGTTTGGAGCCAAAAGGATGTTAGCTCATATACTCACAAACACAGAGAATACACACTTCTGGCTCCACACAGATGAAACTATACTGACACACAAAGGCTCTTGTGGTCTCTCAATTTCTTACTTACTTTTTTTTCTTCTGGCAAACATTTCAATTCATTGCATATCACTTTCATTATCATTAGTTGTCAGATGGAATGACATTTGAGAATGTGGGTGGAAATTTTCTGAAAGATGAGATGGATGAAAATATACATGATATTCTTGATGACATATGAAAGAGAGACTGTGATGGAGAGATGAATGAATTGACAGATACATGGAATGAATGGATAGAGTTTAAATATCACTCTGAGACATTTTGTGCTCAATAGACAGAAAAAGAAAATTCTGAAATGTTCATGGATTTCGATGAAAACCTGGTATTCCAACTTTATTTGGCCTTGTCAGCCGATTCCAAGTGAGTCTAATAGAAAAGTTGTTTTCATATCTGATTGATGTTACGTTTTTAAAATGTACTATATTTGATATGTAATGTTCACTTATCACATTGGAAAAAATTAATCCTTCTCTTCATATAATCTCACTTCATTTACAGCTGCTGACTCAGGGAAGGAACCATGGCATTGAATACTCTTACTATGTTCCAAATGGAGTTGGTCCTGATGAACCAGACTCTTATTCCTGGACTTACAATTCATACTCTAACTGCTCCAAGGCATGTGGAGGGGGTGAGTTTATATTCATTGAATCTACTCCATGTTCACACTACCTAAATTCATTGTGTTCCATAGCAGCATTTTGCAATGCAATTTCAGGAATCTACATCACATGATCCAGTGACATTATTACAGTCCTAACCCTACCCCTCCTCTTTGACGAACTAAAGTAACTGTCATAAATCGTCTTTCAGTCTACTATGTTTAGTCTAGTTCAGTCTTTGCAGATTAAATTTAGAGTATTGGAGACCCTCTTGTTACATACAGTAAAAGCATTTCATTCAGATACATGTATTATAATCTTCTTTTTGCTATGGAGCAAGAATTGACGAAGATAAATTCATTTACTTTTCAATTCTATAGCATATACCTAAACACATAGTCAAGCCATTTTAGGCTTGTGGTAGCAGGAGGGTTAATGGAGAAAAAATGGGGGGAAAAAACCTTGTAAAATGTCCAATAAATCGGATATTCCTTAAATTATGATTTGCAATACATGACAAGAATGAAATATGGTATGAAAATGAATGAAATGGTAATAATTCTGTTTACTGTAAAGACTTGTACTATAAAGATTGTTGCATCTTCTTGGCAATGGACTACGGTACTGGTTTTTATGAATCTGGTGACAGAGCTCTATTTTCTTTTAATGAGAAATTGGCCATTTTATCCTCCCACCTGTGTTTTTGTAGTAAACTGAAACGGGTCATACCACTACGACCCTTCAGGTGTGATGACAAATTGACTCGCCAAAACCAGGGAGATGGATTTGTGCCATAGAACATTTCACTGTGAAGATGCAGGAAGTTTATCTAATAGAATCTGATATTTCTATAAATGGGACAATTTTGTTCAATGTCATCCATTTATCATCCTTCTAAAACTTCTCTCTGAACAATAATCAAAGACTTATAATATGTCAGAAAACTTCATCAAACTGACACCACAATCTCTTTACACTCTTTCTAATGAATTTGAATTTACCAATGGCTACCAATAGGTGAAGGAAAGAAGGGAAAGTTTACTATAACTTTTCCCTAGATGAAAGAATTAGTTTTCCTAAAAGAGAAAAAGTGTGTCATCTGTTAAAGATAAAAGAGTATATTAAAATGAATACTCTTATCTTAGATTAGATAGAAAATTATCTAGGCTTCTGTAAGATTTTATAATAAAAAAATATGTGTTCCATCTTTCACCGCATGTGGTTAAAAATACAGTTATAAAAGTGTATCAGCCAACTTCTTCCCATAACCGTCATCCTAGACATGTTTACTAGGATTCATCTCTTTTCTTCAGCAGTCTACATGTCAGTATTTTAATACCTCAGGTGTGTTAGACCAGCCCCCTTGGGATATCCCCCTTAATGGGCATTTGATCTCCCCTAAACTTGAAGAGATTTATGGAGGTTAGAGGTCAAATACTACCCAAGTTCCCTGATGGCCTTTGGTAGACTTTCATGTTCGATGAAAGGCTAGCTGCCGAGGACAATGTTCTATGCAGTTTACAAGCACTTTTTATATCTTTCCCATTTTTGTCAAAATGTGACAAATGTTTCCATGGCAACTGCAATTGAGCTGACAGATTTAGGGGCACAACCAGCTATGCCCCCATTTGAAACCCTTTTAGCACATTGTAAGTACTCAACCTGTAAAGTGTGCCACCCATTTCAAATATTCTACTAAACATGGTACCTGAAAACTTATGTGACAATAATCATTGTTTCCTTGTTTTTTGCCCCCCCCCCCCCCCACCATACAAAATCATGGACCTGCCTCTAACTTGTAATTTGCCAGAAATTCCATTCATCAGTGATCAAGCTTGGATTACAAATCTTGTTAAGACATTGCTATAAACTGTTTGCTTAAATGAAGAAAGGCCTTTGTTCAAAATTGGTTCATAGGAGGTGTTTCTCTTGTTATGGTCTGGAATTTTCTCTTTGTTTTGATCAGGTTTCCAGACAAGGACGGTTACCTGTACCCGCTCTGGTGACTATGAGCCTGTCCCAACTTACCTGTGTGACCCCGCCCTGAAACCACGTAACAACAGGACCTGCAACGCAGAGGACTGCCCTCCAAAGTGAGTCATCATTTAAGTGATAATGAAAAATAATAAAACTATATCATTTGAGTCAAGTATTATTATTATAATTCCTACTATCATTACTATTTTTGTCATTATTTATCTATTTATATATTTATTTATTCCGTTTTATCATTACTACCCCGCCCTCAAACCACGTAACAACAGGACCTGCAAAACAGATTACTGCCCTCCAAAGTAAGTCATCATTTAAGTGATAATGAAAATGATAAAAACTTTATCATTTGAGTCAAGTATTATTATTATTATTACTACTATCATTACTATTCTTACCATTATTACTATTACTATTATTATTATTATTATTATTAACATTTTTATTGTTATTGTTATTATTATTAATGTAGTTGTTATTGATATTATTGTTATTATTAGTATCATTATTGGTGGTGGTGATGGTGGTGGTGGTTATTTTACCTGACTGCTAAGAAAGCATATATGCTTGTAAGTAAGCAAACAGACGGCCAACAGCTTCAGGTCCTCTCCGAGGGACCTGGTAATGAGGATTAATGCCTTACCAAAGGGCAGTAGCGCATCGCCTTGGTTTCGAACCGGGGTCACCGGATTACGAGACCACTGCTCTAACGACTGAGCTATCACGCCTCCTCTTTATCATTATTGTTATCACTAGTAGTAGTCAAAGTAAGTTGAAGTAGAAGTAGGAGTTCCTACAGAAAGGGTCGTCTTCTTAAAGCCAGATGGATGTTAAATCATATCATTTAAACAAGGACAACACCCTTCTGTCACTAAACAGTTGATGCAGTATTACATTATATTATCCATATATCTTTTCACACCCTTTTCATTTATTTATTGTTCATTTGTTACTGTCAGGGTTTTTCTTGAGTACTGGGTGGTCTGTTTAGCTTTTCAAAACTTCACTTTGTTGATCATTTCCAACTTTCCTTCTATAATATCTTATTTCATTTTGTTTATTATTATCATATCTGATGTGTAATCATCGATGTTTGCCATTGCGTGCTTTCAAAATATTACTTTATTAGCATCATGTGGTTATCATAACAGTTTCACATATAATATCCTGTCACCTTTATAGCTTTGTAATGATTGTTATCTTCTATGATGAAGTTACTGGAGTATAGTAATGTACATTTTATGAAGGATAATCCAAGTTTATACTATGGACGAGATGGGGGTCAGTGCATTGAAATATAGATGTCACAGGCTTTTCTCAGATGAGAATTCTGTTATACCGGTACTTTCCTTAGCCTGAAGCTTACAAACTCCTAAAATCTTTTGAAGCGCCTTGAAAAATGTTTATCCAGGAGCTACTTGTGACATTCCAGTAGTTCCATCCTAAGGCCGAAGACTAAAAATGTCAAAATATATCCTATTTTTGTCACCTTGTCCACAAACAACAGTGTTTATATGGCTTATCTCTTTATCAGTATCTAAACTTGGCATTCCATAGACAAGGATGATTTTGGTTGAAATGGACAGATATCCCTTGCAGGTAGATTATAGAGTCAGTATCAAAATTTATCTTTACATGAAATGACACATATTTTACCTTTTTTCCACATACCATTGTATTACATTCCTGGATTTAGGGCAAGTCCAAGCTGTTCTCCCCTTAGGTGTCAAAACTTCAAATTCATTAAAGCAGCAAAATGTATGTCATTTTAAAGCCAAAACTTTGAAGTTTATGATCCTTTTATTATTCTTATAAAAAGATTCATAAATATGAAATTCTACGCTCATTATTCCATACCAATATTGATTAGCATGAAGTCCGAGACATTTGCATTTTTCATGTGCGACTTATTCAAAAGAACTTTACATTTTTGAAATGCTGGGATAAAGTGAACTAGGTATGTATTTAGGTAATGTCAGACATGCAATGCTCCATATATCACAATTTTGACGTATAATTATTTACATTTCCAATAAAGAATTAATCAACATTTTTCAAAAAATCCTGTGAATTTCTGATGTTCAGTTAATACCCAACAAAAATCATGATAAAGTAATCCAAAACTAACAAAATCGCCTTTCCATTGTGTATCATAATACATTTTTTATCAGAAAATACCTTTTTGTGTGTATTATAAAGGGAAAAGTGTGCCTTACGTCACATGCAGATCATTATACTTGCATTTTTCACATAATGGTAACAAATAATTGTGTTTTCTTGTTTATGATTTTTATGCCAAGTATTTTTGTGATTAATGTATGAAGAAGTTGTCCTTTATAATTCAGAAGACTTTTAATGATGACCTTGTTTGTTAAAAAATAAACCTTTTTTCTGGTCCATAGAATAAAACCAAAACAGGGTTTACTACAAATTCTTTGCATTTAATTAGAAGGTCACAACTAGCCATTAGCCCAAAAGTTGTTTATTTGTGCCTTTCATTTTAAAATCAGACTGGTGTATAGGTTCTGATCTGTCCTGTATTCCACAGGTCATATAGCTTGGACTGGCCCATTATTATCATTTTTGTCTGATAAATGGCACATTTCCATACCATCTGCCGAAAGCCAGAAGGACATTTTTGCTGAAGGATTGTGGTTAATGCCCCTCTAGCTCTCTGTAGACAATGGATGTACAGGAAGAAGCTCATGGAAATCTTTAATATTGTTTGTTACATAAACCTAATGTTTATATATTAAAAATAAGAAGAGTGGAAATTTATTTATATACTTGGGTGAAGTATATTCATATGAGATGAAAGGGCATGGCGTATGTACACATCAGAAAAGTTCATGTTGAAACACACAGTATAAGCGTTTACTGATTGGATTATTAAATGACTGTTCAGACATTGTCACTTTTCGTAAAACTATCAACTGTAGCACATATATGAGGGGTTCAACATACATGCACACGTGTGAACACACCCCAAGGTGATGTGCGTACTACCAGAGTGTTCAAACTATAGATAGGCATGTGACAATTCTATGTAGAGCGGAAGGGCTCAAATGATTTCCTGACACAAATCTACCTTGTCATGAAGAAGGATTCACATATATATGGACAGATGTCACAAATGTTGTAGCTATTGGATGATGCCTACTGAACTCCCTTTGACACATGAAAATGTATGTACAGTGTATACTTTTTTAATGTAAATGGAATGAAAATGAATGTAGAGATTTTGATGGAGATTTTTCCTGTCAGATATTCCATTCTGAGAAAATAATGAAGGAATGAATTAAAGAATCTGAACTTTCATGATATTCACAAATTTAACACTAAGTAAATACTGTCAAAAATTGAAAGTTGGTCATTAAAACAAACTACAAGTAGCTGATTTGTCTCAAGTTATTAAGGCACTCTATTTCTGTCTTGTATCACAAAGAAAAACCTGGGAAAACAGTTTAAAGGTACTATGTCCCATTTGCAGGCCAAAAAATGAAAAAGTTAAATTCCAACTGCATTTGAAAGATATTACTAATTTAGAACTTCCCTAAAAAAGGTGGGGCTTGAAAATGTCTTCAAGTGGGAAAATAATGACTATTAGTTGTCAAATCGAATTTAGGGCTATAGAGCCCAAAAGTAATAGTCTTAATTTTCAGACAATTGTACCGAATGGTCATACGTTTTATGCTGCGCAAAGATTCAATTAGTTTAATCTTAGCCATCACAAGAAGTGGGTTATTGATGTAGAAAAAATGCTCATGTACCCTTTACAATTCTTTTCATGTATGTTATTACCAAAGAAGAAAAAAAAAACCAGTCAGTCACTCGATAGTGTCTGACAGTGAAGTCTAGCAAGTAAACGGGTTTCCTTGCATATTTTGAATATGAGGACACTGCTAAAGTTTAAATTTCACAGATAGGACATACATGACATATTCATAATTCCTGCAAAGTTTTACAGAATTTGAGGTTGGCTGCAAAAGGGACATAGTACCTTTAAATGAACTTTTGAAAAATGATATCAAATTAATATATTTCTGATAAGCATTTAAAGGTTTTATTGACATTTAGAAGAGGCTTTCTTAAATTGCATTATAGAAGCTGTCAAATTCACCTTTCCGTCAATCTTTCTGACCATATGCCTGTCATTTATATTATTTAAATAAATTCAGCCATAATGAGGTTTCGGACTTGCTCCACTTTTAGCTGGTAATGTAATTGGTAAAAGTGAGAATTTTCACTCACATTCCGGTGATTCCGCATATGTTTAATTCATCACTCTTGTCTGCTTGAGCGTTTGACATAATTTATTTGAAGAGAATTAGCAATCTGTACCTGTAGAACAACTATTTACACAAGATAATTGTTCCCACCTTTACAACAGAGTCTGGTATCACTATTCAGATATGAAATGGGGAAAGCAGGTTGTAAATATTGAGCACCGGAACATCTGATATTCTTTTACATTGTCAAAGCAGAAATGGGGTGGACAGCTAGAGTACAGGGTAGGGGCTGGGCCTTTGCTTTTGATAAAAATGCATGGCAGAAGCATATAGGAAACTATATGTATGGTGCATGTTTTTCATGATAAATGTGTATCATATTGCAGTACTCTTTTTTTTTATATCCATGTTGTTCTGTTTATCTTTTTGTAGCTCTTTGATTTAAATGGTATGGTCAAGTTTGATTCATATTGATGCATATAGTTATGTTAATATATAAGCAAGGGAAAGTCAGCAAGCTGTTCAATTCTTTCCAATGTGACTTAACTTTGCATTCTTCAGGAAGACACCAATATTTTTCAATAAAATTGTGTTAAAGTAACTCTGTGCTGGCCTTATGCACCATCATGGCTTAGGTTTGATCGTGAAAAGTATGAATTGTCATCAGCAGCTCATCGTGTTCCCCTCTGAAGTTTCCTTCTGCATTCAACTGAATACATGAGAGTAATATATTGTCGACTAAGAGCGAGAAGGACATTAGTTTGTTACTCTCCACCCTTATGTCTTCCAGCAGAAAACTTGTTTGTAGTTGATCTTTGTAGCAGTGAATGTTTTGAATCAAAGTGTGAATCTAGGGTGGGGAGGTTTGGACAGACATTGTGCGCATACCTGGGTTTAAGTAGCGGGGTTAACGGAGGATGAAGGGTAGAGCTCTGGTGAGTGATAGGAGACATTCACACAAAACAATGCCATCTTGTCAACAAAAGTGTGAATTTCAACATGATATCTATGAGCTGTATTCATGTTTTGTTTGAGAATGAAATGAATAAAGATTGCTTGTTTACATCATGCTTGGAGTTCCATTGTAAAAGAAGATTTGAAGACAATGATAAGCTCATAGTGGTGTACAACAAAATATGTTTTTCATCATTTTATTGATCTAGCAATGAAGGAAGCTTTCTGGTCACGAGTTACATTTCTTCTATATAATCATGAGTATCTCTTTTCAAGCAAGAATGAAACAGTATCATATTTCTAAAAGAAGATTTGGTGACACATAACTTCATGTAGCTCATATGGATTGGTTTACTAATCGGGAGTGAGCCTGCTTTTATTTCATTGTTAGAATACAACATTCATGTTTTTCAAAATGCCTTTAACGTTAATACTCTGCATACATGATCATCTTTGATTTGACTAAACTTAAGTTAATGGATATCTAATCAACAAAGCCTCTCCATTTCCTTTCCGCAATGTATTCATGTATGAGGACAAACTGGGCATGCCAACAGCTTTGTATCATTTATAACAGAACATCTGTAAATGTTATGAATACGAAAAATCTTAACAAATGGATACACCATCAATGATAAACCTTTGTTTCCTTCCTGAAAAAATGCTGTAATGTTTTACTATTAAATCAATACAACAATCTGAATATTGTTTATGATTTAAAAATTGTATACTGAAGTTTGAGTTTTATTCCTGTTGTGTTTATGCATGTTGTGATTTTGCACAATCAAATGATAATAGTAGTAGAAATATTTCATAATGCTACTCTTTTTTTCCCTTCTTTTCTTAGATGGTACATTGGAGACTGGAGTCCATGTTCTCAGACATGTGATGAAGGATCAAAGGTCAGACAAGTTTATTGTCAGCAGCAGTTAGAGAATGGTCGGAGTGAGGCCATTGAGGAGGCATACTGCTTAGGGCTTCTAGGGTTCAAGCCTGAGTACCAGGAGGCATGCACGGTGCAGCAATGTCCTCATTGGGTTGCTGGAGAGTGGTCAGAGGTAAATGCAGTCTGATTTAAAAACCTACTACTGGTACTCTGTTATTTTTGTTGTACTTTGGTGAATGATGGTCTAATTCTTTCTTAGATCCATATACCGGTATATACATTTTCATTGATCAAAAGTTAACAGTTGGATAATTTGATGATTAAGGTGGTAAAGATAGGATACAGAATAAATAACTGATTGAAGATGGAGAGAGAGAGAGAGAGAGAGAGAGAGAATAGTATATTTATGATTATGATCTTAGATATAGATATTTTAATGGAAGAGTGACCGCATGGATTGAAAACGAGTTAGCTTGCACAAATGAAAACAAGGGATATTGGTCAACAGACTGATATTTGTAAAAAGGGCCAAGGGCATATTTTCATTTACATTTCAAAATAATTAATGGGCCACAAAATTGTGACAAAGAATATATTATATGCATATTGAAATGAGGGTAATTAGATAGATGGATGGGTAGATAAAATTATAAAGAACGAACTAAGGCCTTCTCATTATGTTTGTATTGTAATTAATTGGGTGTTCATTTCACCTCTTAGAAGAGGATATTGTACCCTTGCAGTGCCACCACTTTTAGAAACAACTCATCAAGACAAGTTGAAATCATCCTTCCTTTTTCTACATTAATTTTGATTTGAAAAAGTGGCCCATGGTATCAACTATCATGATTCATGATCTACTTTTGAATTTCAAGAATTAAGACAAGCTCTTCTTAGTCCAGACATATTGGGTGATTTTAACCACAGCTGGCACTGAAAGGGTTAATGAATTACAAAATGGAGATATATCATGGATGAGCAGAGGTTAATGTAAGTCATCACCTTCAAGAAAGATGTTGTTAAAACTATTTATGGTTTCTCTCTCTCTATATATATATATATAAGCAACCAGCATGGTAAACAATTGGTATCTTAATTGTTATATTCTTGACAGTGTTCTGTTGAGTGTGGAGATGGGACCCAGGCCAGACAGATCAATTGCATGGCTGATCTTCAAGAGCCAGACTCATCCTGTGATGCCAATGATAGACCAGATGAGGAACAAGAATGTAACCTAGGTCCTTGTGATGGAGTGGAGTGGATGACAACAGAGTGGACACAGGTACGCGTCATCTGACATCATCATCAAAATGAAAATTAAGGAAGCCTTAACACAAAATGAGAATATGAGGAGATTTATTGTTACCTGAATTTGAGATGCCATTTTTCTCAGTAGTGAAAAGGAGTTGAATGGATTTTTGAAATGTAGATGGGTGATGAAAAGTTTAGTGCCAGCCCCCAGTTCCATCTAATGCATATTGAATTGTACCGTATACGTTGATCAGATTTTCTTAGGTTTCACTTTGACCATATTCTGTGTTCATGTCTTTGTTTAAGTGAAGGCAAATTCTCAGCAGCTACAGCATCATTTTTGATAATCAAACTGCTTTTTATAGGGGTACCTGTATAGCAAAGTTACAATTGAAGAAGATGTGTTTCTGTAATAATGATGATTTAGTGTTTTGCCTAGTACAAATTATTTACCAATCAAAGCTCTTGTATTAGGCTGTTATAACCCTGATCACTGCAGTTTGAGAAAAAATGCAATTATAAGTAAAATTGGTGCAGTATCTCCTCATGTATATTTGTGTTCAAAAATCATTTTCTATCTTTTCCCTGTTGTATATATGACAGTGTGCAGGTCTGTGCGGTCTTGGCATCAAATCTCGTCAGCTGTTCTGCGCTACCAGGGCTGGTACAGTGTTTGATAAGGAACTGTGTGAGATGTCTGCCATGCCTGACATGACATCAGCTTGTCTACTCCAAGAAGAGTGTGGACCAAGATGGATGGCATCTCACTGGAGTGAGGTATGTAGAGGAATTCTGAGAATCCCAGTTCTGTTTTATAAGAACTTGATAATGATGAGAAGTTCAAATATATATCCGTTAACATGATTGGATAGTTTGAAATATATGTCCATGAATATATCATACCTCTGAAATTGAGTAGTTTAACATTCTTCTTGATAATTCATGTATATATATTCATATATTTCATTGTTCACACATGTAGATTTATTTTCATTCTAGGAAAAATGTATCTTTAAAGATTAATTTTAACAGAAATGTAAATAAGATTATAGTAATAAGATAACTAGTACTTAATTGCACAAACTGCATTTGGCTCTATGCAAATGATTATGGTAGTATATCGATGTCAAATACATGAAGATGATTTGTGAGCGTTTCCTCAAAGGTATGGATAGATAGGAGCTATTTCACATTTTACTGGAAGCTTAATTGAAGATTGTACAAAAGCAAAGAAACACCTTTGTATGAAACACATAACATATTTTTATCCCTGTTGTTCATATTTTGCTAGTGTTCTGCTACATGTGGAGGAGGAGTCCACTCTCGTATGGTGTTCTGTGCTGATATAACAGGCAACTCCATGGTTCAAGTCCCTGATTCTGACTGCGATCCCATGACCAAGTTTGAGCAAGAAGAGATGTGCAATACAGATCTATGCTCTGATGACTATGTCTGGTTTGTTGGACCATGGGAAAAGGTGAGATATATGTCAAATATTGGTTTATACTTCTAGTACAAATAAATTGTTCATCAAGTTAATGTAATGAATAAAAACACAAGACTTTTGTTGGCCTACATCTCATAATTCATGATTTTTGTTTTGGAAAGCACTAGTGAGATTCTTTACGGTCTGTACCCTTGTTTTACTTTTTCAACTAACCTGTTATGTTGATATTGGTTGCATTAAAACAGGCTAGTTTTTAAAAAAGAGAGTATATTGAAAGATCATAAATCAGAAAAATAGGTCTTGTTTGAATATCCACAATTAAGGTAGATCATATGGTGTTAGTGATACTGCATATCGTATGGGAATACATTTCCACCAGTTTTTGTGTTTCTGTTGGGCTGCAATCTACAAGCCCAGCTTTTCAGCAGTCCCCTCCATGACCAACCTGTTTTATATGCCTGTTGTACACTGTGGACCAATTACAAATTGTTAAGTTTCATTGTTTTACTATGTACAATGTAATCCCATGTACTTTATTTTATTGTTGGAAATGGAATTAAACGAAATGAAATGAAATGAAAATACATGTATTATTGCAAATAAATTGTCCTTAATAACTTCCCTTTGTACATTATTTGTTACCTAGTGCTCCAGACCGTGTGGTGAAGGTTCCAGGACTCGAATCCTGGTGTGTATGAAAGGAGAGATACCTCAGATCCCGTCTCTGTGCCAGGACTCTATACGCCCCGGCAGTGAAGAGCAATGTAACCCTAGGCCATGCACAGCAGGTAAATAAGGATGTGTGCAACCTTTCTTACCTTACCGTCAAGTACTTCTATTATCCACTCCCATCCTATTTTCAGTTTTTTTTCTTCAAATGACATAGATGTGATTATAAAGCCCTAATGTTTGCACTTTCTTGATTTCCCTAAAAATGTTTCAGAAATGTTATGAATATACTCATCTCAGATTTGTTTCATGCAGAATTACTGGCTCATGGTAAAACTTTTAAAATTGTTTCTCTTCCCCCTTCTTTATGTGAGTATTTGTAGTATAATAAAGACTTCAATAGTTTCTATTCTGAAAAATGATTTATTTGGAAATGAACTCAATGTTTTAACTCATGTTTTAATCATTCCATTTTCCTGAAATATATTTATGACAATTCACATTGTTTCTTTTGAAAATGTTGCGTTTCAATATATTCTTCAAAGACATATTTTGTGATATTGTTTATTTTATTTACTTTGTTGAACTGTGCCCATATTGGATAGGCCTACATGAATAAAACGATGCATTGGTATTGAACCACTGTGAATAGAAAGTTGCAATGCATAATGCAGGTTTATATTCTGTGTTAGTTTATGTTTATCTCTTCTTTTTCTCTCATAGGAGGGAAGACATTGCGTAGAAAGAGAAAGAGAAAAAGGATTTTTCGCAAAAAATCTTCATTGCCTTGAATTTTTTTACTAAAAGTTTGAGATATTTACTTTTGTTTTTTTGAGATGGATTGTTTTGTTTTTCCTTTTGGTTGATACCTTGTCCTCTAATTCCCTGGTTATACTTGTAGTTGATTCTCTTGATTGGAGTGATGTTAGTTAGGGAGCTTTAGATTTCAGGAACAACAACATTAGGATGATTCCAAAACCAAAGGGATATCATACGTAGTATTCCTCTGATGAGAAGAACAAATATTTACTATTCATTGTATTATCACATTGGATCACATTTCGCATTGTGAGACTTTGTTGACTCATCAATATCATGCACCAAAAAAATGATACCAATTTTCACAAGTTTTTACAGCAAAATGATGATTTTTTTTTCTTTCTGGAAAGACAATTGAAGGTTTTTAGAGGAAAAACATATTGCTACTGCTGTCATAATATTCCATATAATTAAAACTCTAATTGCAGGGTTGTCGCCTTCAGAAATCAAAAGGTCATCAATGATGGTTCAACTCTTTGTAGCTTCAGTATCATGATATTTTAAAGCTCCCTAACATGTATGTCTTGCAATGCATTGTGTAAATTGCTCAATTTTTTCCTTCCTTTTTCTCCATCTTTTTTTCATGTAGTGTATTATACTAGTTAAATCATATCTTCCCATTCTTCCCTGTTAAACTCTATATTCTTGTCCTTTTCTTGATGGTTTGACAAATTGAAAATATTAGTGGAAGATTTTTAACAATTTAAAAACATTTGTAATATTCCAGACAAGAGGCTAGATTTCTATATAGTACGGAGCGCATGTGTATTTTTCAACTGCAGTTTTACTTGTTTGCTTCCTGTTGAAACAATCTAGCATGATTTTATTGGTTCAAATAGTACATAATAATATATATGAGTATATGATGATAATTGAATTTGTTTCTTTCCACAGTTTACAGTAGAGTAATTATGAGCGGTGTGTCTGGTATATTCCTGTTTTTGAAACTTTGATTTAAATTGAATGCTGAGTTTCCCTCCAAAAAAAAATTATTTGATTGATATAAGCCTGTGTAGTTACTTAAATGGTTTAGATGCATTTTAGTCGAAAGAAAATCTATTCAGAAATGTCTATATTTACTACATTGTAATTTAAAGCAGCAGCCCTTTTATCATAAGTGACTTTCTGAAATGTATCAATGTAATTTAGATGGAACAGAAGAAATTGAAGAAACAATGTTCACAACAGCTAGAACAATGAGTACAACAGCTAGAACGATGAGTACAACAGAAGCTGCAATAGAAGTTGTAACAGAAGAAACTGTGACCATCTTAGCTACAGATATTGCAACGGAAGAAATGATGCTCATAACAGAAGAAATAATAAGTTTCACAGAGATCATAGAAGTTCCAATGATAATAGAAGTAGAGATACATGATTTTGAAATCCCAACCCTTGTGAATGAGAGGCTTCATAGTGGAACAGAAGGAATAACCACTGATCTGGCCAATCTAGAGACAGACACAATGTTAAGTACTGAAAGCACCCAACTACAGACGAAGTCTGGACAACTCCATGTTAGTCCTGAAGCATCAAATACCAATGACTCGTTGTCATTTGAAGTAGTTTCTTCATTCAATGTTGCTGTTCCATCTTCTCATGATGAAAATATCTTAAATGATGGTAAGATATGGATGACAAATTAATATTGTTGCAGCAGCACACGCACTGGTAGACTGGCACCTAACACATATATACAGTAAACACATCATTTGTTCCCAGAAACTAGAATTTTAAGGTTCTAAGCATGTTGGCCTTCAAAGATTCTCTATGATTTCTGGGGTAATTTAATCATTTATCTCACAACCATTATTGTTTGATGCACAAACTATTTACTCACTATTGCTCTTGCTTCATATTAAGTTTTGATTTAATTTTTGAACATAACTAGTCATTGTTAAGCAGTTTATTTTCAGGTGTCTGATTAAATTAATTATTAATATGAATTGCTTCCTGATTATATACTTAAATAATTTGGTGGAATTTTTTCAGATTTTGTTCTCATTCATTTCTTTAAATAACATCTATGATTTTGAGGCGATGATAAACTTGGTTGAGTTTAGATTTACTTCTAGTTTTCAATCCATTTATAAATTGATTTGGAGTTCAGGAGATAACAGTCATGGTAAACATTACCAGTACTTTATTAGTAATACAATATTTCATGAGCATTCAGTGTGGGAGAGAATGATTATTTAACAATGGAAAATCATCTTGTAGAAACTTTTTTGTAATACTCTTGAGACAATGTATAATGTTTTGTTGAGGAAACTAATAGTTTTTGCATAAACCTGGGCTTCTAAAAGTGGATATTGATTATAATATTCTGTTATTGAAATGTCTTAATTGGATTCAAATGGATATTGACATGGCTAACAACCATGATCACACCTGTGATTGCTTTTTAACTTGTAAATAGGTGCATTTTGACTGATTTTAATCTACTAATCTAACTATCTCTCAGCTCAAAGGAATACTTTTGATTTGATTTGTAGACTGACACTTATAAGGTATTTGTGGTAAATAAAAAAATGTTTTCTTACTTTTGGGTATCATTAATACAACAATCATTAAGTTTACTTCAACTTCATCATCATGTTATCAATTTTAGAATTATTTTTCACAATAACAGTATCTGATTTCATTTGATTATCATTTTTTTCTTATGATTTATTTATCAAAAATAAAAATAGTTTTTATATTATATTGACCATTCTAATCTCACTCATCTAATCTTTTGGTTATGATATCAATAACCCGTGATTAGGTGATTTTGATTTGCTACATTTCTCAAAGCATATTGATATGTATATATTTAGTTTTTTAATATAGAATGTAATTTATTTTAGTTTCTAGGCATTCTCATTGCTTCATATGTACAATACCGTCGTTAATCCTTTTATGTTCACCGTAGTTTGGCAATACAAATAAAGCAAACTTGTAGAACTTCATATTGATATTGTTCCTAAATTTCTTTAATTTCTGATTAAGTTTGAAGGAGATATTTGTTCAGATGCAAAGGTAGTCTTGCCATACTAATTTTCTTTAAACATAATTATGTTTCAAAAATATTCCAAACGATTTGTTTCACAATGAATTAATGAAATTTCACTGATCCCATTAAATGATCTATCCCATATTCATAAACTATGACAGGAGGAAGAGTATATGGCAGGCAGCCTTGCATGCTGATTGAATGATGATTCATGTAATAAGCGCCACTTTCTTTAAAATGTTCTTATATGTGTTTTTGTGATCATGTGTTTTAATGTTGTAAAATACATGTATGTCCTATCTTGTTATATTGCAAATCAAGGAACAGCGTAATGTTTTTTCTTGTTTCCTTGAATGTACTAACCACCTCCTGTGCCTAAATGGTTGTTATATTTCCCATTCAGACATTCTAGATAGCACAGAGAGTTCAGTGGGTTGTGAAGAGAGTGAGTTTAGATGTTGTCCTGACGGTGTAACAGCCGCTACAGGGCCCTTCAGTGAAGGGTGTAGGTGAGTTAGTGGTTACAGGTTTTAATGCATCGGAGCATTGTCCAACGCACTTGTATTCCTGTGGCTTCATTCATTCATTCAAATCTTTATTGCATGCGCTCTGTCTAGACTCTATATCAATATTCAATGCCTGAAATTGGCTGTATGGTATTCAGTATTGCTCACGTGCATCCATATAGGAAAAGTTTGTAATATTAGGTGAAACATTCTTCAAATATCCCATTTGACACCATCACATGCCATCTCTATCCTTGCAGTCAAACCCTATTAGGCTGGTTCATGGGATATGGTATCATAATTGTACTCAATTTAGGCCGGAGTGAACTGATATTTTATATTTTGTTTTGGGGTCCTCGGAACAATATGCTTATCAGTATAACATACCCATGCCTATACATGTACTGTTTGGTTGTCATTGTATGTATCTTGTTAAATGGTTTTGTGTTCTTTAAAAGTGGTGTCTGTACTTGTGACCATTTCTTATGAAATTATGATACATCAACATTCTACATTCGAAATAGTAAAGTTTGTCACACATCACATCCTCAGTATAAAATGGTTTATGGTTGGAATTCATTTCACTTGACTACAGCTGATATTGGGTTATATCTCTGGAGGTGACTTCTTTAAGAGCAAAACACATTTCATTAGTTCAGAATAGATATTTTCTGTTTTGCATGTATGCTTCATTACTGTATGTCTGTTTCATATATGAATTTTGTGGTGTAGTGGATATGTTAAATTTCATTGCTATCATCTTTTATAAACCAACCCCATTTGCTTTTATTGTGCTTTCCCAAAACTCTTTGAAAAACATCAATTTCTATCTGTTTTTTTCTTCAAAATCAGAAACATTGTTCAAGAATACACAAAACTGTGAAAGATAATTCCAAAGCTGAAATAAATGCCTAATGCATGATAAAACCAAACAGTCAAATTGATTTGTCAGAGCTATGAGTTAATGTGTTCATGTGCTGAATGTTATTTTGTTTGTAAACCCTTGCCATATCATCTACTGCTTCATCCTGCTGTATATACTTGCATCTCACATGGAACTGTGTAAGTTTTTGATCCATCTGAAATGTAGTGGCACAAAGAGACATGTCTGGAAGCATGATATTTTGGTGATATCGGTGAATTAATAGTTGTAAACTGACATGGTTATTCTACGCATAATCAAGATAGTAAAGGTATTCAATATGGTTCTATACGGCAATGCCAAGAAAATATGATTTTTAACAATTATGTATTTTTCCTTCCAGACGTGTCATTTGGTGTCACTTCACTTTGTTAAGCTGCCCTAAGAGTACCACCAGTACAGAAATAGAAATAAAGAAATAGAAATATTCACTGAAAGACAAATAAGAATCATTGATTTCCTGTTATCTTTGCACTTGTTTGATTAAGTTGAAATTATTCATGAATATATAATGACAACAAAAACTTCCTGTGGTTAAAAAAATGCATTTGAAATATTGCTATATGAACAGAAAGAAAAACCGATGAGTACATCTTTATATTCACTTCGTTTCCTACTGCTACACTACCATATTTCAATACCTCCATTTAGTACAACCTTATTTCTGTATGAAAAAGCCCTTTCTTTGTGTTTCAAGATCACTCTTATCCATCATTTATCTCAGAAAGACATTTATATCATGTATCTGCATTGATTTTTTCGAATATGATTTTCATGATGATTGGTTTGTAACAGTAATATTCCTGATGTATTTTTTGGAATGTCTGCCAGAATCTTTCAACTTTTGAAAGAAAACTTGAATACTTAAGGCTGCATTAGCTGAGTTTTAAGATAAAAGAAATATTTCCTCAAATTTCATAGATTCTGTACTTTTTTTTCAAACTGTCATTGTTTGTGGTGAATAAGAAGGGAGGGAAAAAGCGATAAAACTAAATTTTTCATACGTTTATGTTGAGTGAGGTAAGCAGGAAAAAAAGAGAATTGGGGTCTAGTATTCAAGAGGATTTACGATCCTTAATATTGCATTTCTCTTTTACAGAGATTGTGACCAGACACCTTATAAGTGTTGCCCAGATGGAATCACCCCAGCTAAGGGAGAGGACAATGCAGGATGTGATGACATTGCTGAGTTAGTAGGTGGAGAAGGGGAGAGCATTGGATGTGACTTTACTGAGTTCCGTTGTTGCCCTGACGATGTAAATGCTGCTACTGGACCGAACTATGAAGGATGTGATATTGATCCTATAGAAGGTATTATCTCATTGTGAACCTCCTCCCCTGCTTACATTTTATCTCTCTTTCCCCCTTCTCCCCTCTTCTGCCCTTATTCCTTCCATTGCTTTCTACCGTTGTCTTACTTTCTTTCTCTCTTTTTGTTTGTTTGTATGTCTGCTTTTCCTTTTCCTGTTGTATGGGTACATTACATTTAATCGTAGCTTGTGTATATGAATGAGACCAAGATAAACGTATGTCCAATAAGTTACAATTAGTTGATGTACATTTTCTGTATGTCTGTCTCTCTCTCCCACACACACACACACACTCTCTCTTTCTCTCAACCCTCTCTCTCTCCTACCTTTTCTTACTATCTTTCTCTTTTTTTTCCCTCTCCTCTCCCCCACTCCCTTTTTACTCTCCCCTCTCTCCCCTCGCTCTCTCTCCCTCTCTCTTTCCTCTGCTCTCTCTTTCTTTTTCTCTATTTTTCTATATTCCATTCTCTCTTCTTTCTTTCTTGCTCGATCTCTACCTCCCCTCTCCTTCTATTTCTCCCTGATTATCTCACTCAATGTTGCTTTCATTTGAATTATCTTCCGTATCTGAATTATTTACTGTATACTCTATGTTGAAATAATTGTTACATACATAATTTATATATATATATTGTGTTTCATATTGTAATGTTGAGAAGGAAATAAATGTTAATAAATACAAAAAAATACAAATAAACAGTGAACATAGCCACTCCATTTCATCCCAGTATGAACCTTTGTTTCTTCTCTTCCATCCTCAGATCGTTGCTCTCTGTATAATGACCCTGGTATTTGCCGTGCTTGGATAGTGAAATACTACTTTGACTCTAACTATGGGCAGTGTACTCAGTTCTGGTACGGAGGCTGTGGAGGCAATACCAACCTCTTTGACACCTATGAAGAATGCAGGAATGAGTGTGTTGGTGGTGATGAACAACTCACCCAAGAAGGTATAATCAAGTTGAATTTAATTAAAAGAAGAAAGTGAGAGAAGTAGATCAATGAAAGGAAAACTGATAAAGGATTTTTGAATAGTTTATGAAGTATTAAAGTTCTGATTGATCAAATTGGTAACTCTGTGATTTCCCTTTTGAGCAGCTCTCAATTTCTTTCTTCTTTAAAATGTTCTCGAATTTCATTTCTTTACCACAATTTTTGTCCTAGTTATATCATTTGAACACAAAGGATTGAAATTGTCTAAATGTGTGAATGGATTGACATTTAATTCATTTTCTTACAATTTTATTCTTATTTAGATTATTCAAGACTAGAACATGCTTCTGATTATTGCTGCTTAGGGACAAAATGAAAAAGCACAAACAACTCTAGTGTGTTATTCTTCCTCACACCACATGTAATCTTTAGTTCATCTTCATGGTAAACGGCATACCCCTTCAAAGATTACCAGGAGAAGGAGAAGAACTTTGTTGTGTTTGACATTTGAAATGAAAATGTGAATTACTTCTGAATATGTTATTTTGTCAGATCTCTGCATACTGCCAGCTGCTCCTGGCCCCTGTAAAGGCTCATTTGAGAACTACTTTTATAATGACAAGACTAGCAGGTGCGAGATCTTCAAGTATGGAGGTTGCCGTGGTAACAAGAATCGCTTCAGAACTGAAGCTGACTGTGAGATTGCTTGTGGGACATTCCATGAAGGTATATTACTTTACCCATAATGATTAGAAACTCCTAGTACATTGAGTAATTGTGTAATTTAAAGGTAAAGACCAGTATTGGAAACGCCCCAATTTCAAAAAATGAAATGGAAGCTCTCATTACCAATCATGTGAAAGAATATGTTTTGACTAATACATGATGATAAAAAAATTGCCGGGAAACCGCCTACTAATTCATATATTTGGTAAATTTGTTTCTCACATGGTCTGTGAGAGATATAGGGTAGTCCCATATACATCTTTCTGTGTATAGTGCTTGTAACTTTACGAAGAATGGGCCAAATTTCTTATCATTTTGATGTTTCCAGAACCTTGCAGATGCTAGATGCTAGATGATCAACCTTTTCTGATCGATTCCACAACGTTTCTTTCACAATGCAATCGCATGACCATTACTGGTCTTTACCTTTAAAGAAAAAGAAATGTATTCAAAATAAATAAATCACAAAATGTATGTTTACATCTACTATAGATAGTGTAACAATTATTACCAGCGTAAATATTCTTAAATGAATGATACACGCCATAAAATCTAAAACAACAACAAACCAGTACTATTATTTTAATTGACTGTCCTTTTTGCTTGTTTGTAGATCCATGCAATCTACAGGCAGAGTATGGAGACTGCAGGGATTCCCATGTTAGATGGTTCTTCAATGCTGATACTCGCATGTGTGAAGATTTTGAGTATTCAGGTTGCCGTGGTAACCAGAATCGTTTCATGGATAAGCAGGCTTGTGAGGAAAGATGCAATGCCAATGTTATAGGTGTTATTGTACCAATTACAAAGTATGGTAAGTCAAGCTCATTTTTAGCCTGTCTGTTAGATTTTGTAGAACCATTTTGCAAACTGAAATTGTATACTTTTAACATCAGTTATGGCAAGGGAATGAAGAGGAATCAATTAATCTTATTTTATATGGTTATAATTATTTCCCCCATAAAATATTCTTACCAAAGCATTAAGATTTTGTAATATACACATTGTTGGAGTTAGTGATTTGTTGGTGTTGCTATTTTAGTTTGATTGGCAATTCAATCCACAATCGGGTTTTAAAGATGTCACATTCTTTTCCTAAAACTGTTTTTTTTACATATATAACTGAAAGAATGCTAAGTTATGATGAACAACTGTATCCAAGATTAAAAGGGCTGAGATTTGAACCCTATGCCTTGTGATCTACAGTCCATAGACTTGTCTCCTAGACCAAAACACCTCTTCATATATTCACAAGTGTCATAAGATATAGAAATGATGCTCATTTCATTATACACAAAAAACATGCCATGGTTATATGAATGCAGCCTTATATTGATCTCTCCCTGATTACAGAGCAGTGCAGTGTATCAGCCGATCCAGGGATTTGCTTTGCCTTCTTTCCTATGTGGGCATATGATGTAACAGCAGGAAAATGCAAGGAGTTTATATATGGTGGATGTGATGGCAACGACAACAGATTTGAGACTGAGCTGGCTTGCCAGGAGGCTTGCTACGTTGAAGGTAGGCTCAACTTGATCAAAGTTCTTTCAAAAATGGTTATCTACTAACATTTTCATTTATTTGTAGTATTGTAATGATCTCAGAAATTGAACTTGATATGTCATATTAATTGATTGAATGAAAGCTCAGTGTCAATTAAAATTTACATGAATAGTTTGTCTTTGTCTCAATTTGTAAATTTTAAAATGTCTTATTATGCCTTGAATGTCATTCTCTTAAATCTCTGTTTACCGTGAAAATCTTAAAAAGGTATCAAAACACAAACATCACCATATAATGTTAGTCATGTATTCCCGAAGAGTATTCAATAATTAACCCCAACAAATTTGATACCAAAAAAAAGTGATACTTTAATCATTTTTAATATGAAAAATATTTCATTCATGTAAACGTGGCATCTTTCTGAACATCCACCCCTTTTCTTCAATCTTGTGCTTTTTCCCAATCCAATACCCACTAGGCAAGACAATATGTGAGCGCCTCCGAGCCCTCCATGAAGCCTCAGGGATCAACGATCGGCCACAGTGTAAGTTTGATGGTAGCTTTGAACCTGTCCAATGCCCCCCTAGGAGTGGAGATTGTTGGTGTGTCACAGACCTAGGAGAAGAGATTGAAGGCAGTAGAATCACCAGGCAACTACACACACTAAGGCTTGATTGCTCAGGTAAGTTCTTTAGAAAGACCTCAACCTTAAATGTTCCACTTTATATAACAATATTCACCTTGCCTACATTAATTAATCTGTTGAGACCAAGAAGCGTGTTCATTCTGTATGTTAATGCCCTTCTGGCTCTGAACAGATGTAGGGGTCATTACGGTATACAAGTTTTGTGTAAGCTAGGGTTCATTTTCTTCATTTATTCAAACAGTGTTTCATGGTATCAGTTATTGCAGTTCTTAATTCCAATTTTAGATTAGGGATTAGCTTTTCTTAGTCCAAGCTATTGTAAAAGAGATAAAAAATGAACCAAGTAGGATTCACTGCCTAAACAGATATCACCTGAAACAGAAATAGATGATATTATAGGATTGTTTGTATTGTCTTTAGATACGGTATGGTAGATACTCATTAGTCAAGATTTCTGTCCCTAGTCCTCTCAACAGAAGCTTACTTCTTCTTCTTTTTTATATTTGTGTTTGGTGACTGAATAATCTACAGAAGCCTTTATGACTGTAGGCAATGGTGTTCAATGTCAGAAAGACATATCTGCTGATTTGACTTGATATTATTAACTTCATATCTACTTTGGATGTGTTACCATTATCTATATTTTGACTTACATATTATATATTACCAGATGTATGATGTTGATTTTCCCAACTGCAAAGCATTGATATATTAACAATCAATATATTATACATACTTCAACTGATGCTTATATCAAGTGGAGAGAGAGAATTAATTACATATTATACTTCTCTCCTTAGTGTACCCTGACAGCGCTGGTAACTCTGAACCCACCATCAGGCCGACCACAGCAGACATGGCTGACCTGTCGCTATGTCAGCAGGACCAGCGTACAGCCGAGGGTAGCTATGTACCTCAGTGTACAGAGAGTGGAGAGTATGAACACATGCAGTGCTTTGGATCTAACAATGATTACTGCTGGTGTGTGAATGAGAATGGAGAAGAGCTGACCTTCACCAGGACTCTACCGGGTCAAGAGAGACCAAGTTGTGATGGTAAGATTATTGGTCAATTTTCCTTTGTTAACAATTACATCAAACTGCTTTTTAGTGGTTATTTTGTTTTTATGAAACTCTAAGAAATATAGTTTATCATTTAATGCATGATATATAGTAGTGCCCTATAGTCTCTCTCCTGAGGTCACACAGCTTCATATTGAATTCACAATGCTTTCCTATATGAATGTTTAACAAAAGTGACACAATATATTATGACCTTGTATGGTCATCAAGCCTTTCAAACGGCAGGCGAAATACTATTTATCTAAACCTACAAATATTTCATGCAGCCTATTCAGTGTTGTATTTATATATTCCTCTTGACAAATATAAGGAAATTTAATTTGTTATTCTAATTAATATTTATTCAGTGATAGCAAACTGAGCCATATATGCTATGAAATTTAAGGCTTCATAATTGCTTTTTACCTTTACTATGGGATATAATTATGTGTATCTCTACTGAACTATGACTATATAGCCTCTACTGACCTTCTGGCCCTTTCCTACAGGTATCCTAGATACAGTGTGCTTCACATCATACAGACTGATCACTGAAGACAACCAAGCGTCAGACTACATGCCTCAATGTACACCCCAAGGCTTGTTTGCTAAGCTACAATGCCAGACAGAGAGAGGTTGTCTATGTGTAGATGAAACCACTGGGTCCGTCCTGTTTGCGGTGGATGTAGACCCTAACACGGCCACACCCAGACAGTGTGATGGGGTCAGCACCAGAGGTATACCAACCAATCAAATCTTCTTCTTGTTCTCATGAAATAAGAAGGCATATTGCAATTTCTTTTGTATGGTATTTTTGATTTTCAGTACATTTTGACTTTTGTGTTATCCCCCGTGACATATGGCTTCATGTGGATACCAAATATTTGTTGCATTGTCAATCCTTTCTCTTGGGTAAATGCCAAAGTAAGTCGTAATCTGAAGAATTTCACCCGGCCAACACAGCATCTATATCATTGACAAATAGTTATTACCTTTGTGAACAATATGTATTCTTTATCAAGGATATTTACTCATGAACAAACAGATACATATATATGCTTAGGAGGTTTGTGAACATGATATCCTATTTTTTAAGTTTGATTTGAAACATGTAAGATGCTTTTATGTACATAATTTGCAGTATTTAAAAAGTTCCCTAACCATATAGCATGCCTTTCCTACTCGCCCCTACTTTTTGTCTCCAGTTTTGACAACATGTCAGATCCATCGCCAGGAGAGCCTTGCTAGCAATGGTGAAACAGAAGACCGATACATTGCTCAGTGTACTCCAGATGGTTCCTATGCCCAGGTCCAATGCTACGAAGGCCAGGCCAGGTACTGCTGGTGTGTCAATGAAGCAGGAGAAGAGATTACAGGAACCAGGAGGCGAGATGGACAACCAGATTGCACAGTTGGTAAGACATGTATAACCTCTTAAAGCAGAATTTCCTTTCTCATGTGTATTAAAAATACTTCATTATTTATATGTTTACAATTTACATGGGCATGCGTTAACAATCATGAACTTACTTGATCTCCATTAAGAGGCCTTTCAAAATATTTTATTTAGTTTGTTGAGTAGAGATCCTTATGGTGAAGCTCAAAGCAAATGAACTTTGCTCCATGACAATTGTGGAAACGGCCACATGTGGTTTATATGTATACAAATCACATGTACAGTTATGACAACAACAACATAATTTTTTTTCTTTAACATAATGTTGTTGTTTTACTCCTAAAGCAGAGACTGCAGAACCTACTGAAGCCGTAACGGAGAGGACTACAGCAGCAGCAGCAGCTACTCCAACACAAGCAAACACAGGACTAGAGACCACCACTACCATCATCACCACCCAGGCATCTATCATTGATGTCAATGATGTCATCATCATTGGTGAAGAAGACACTCTAGAGGGAGAGGAGGAGGAGGAGGAGGTACCGGAGGAAGGAGATTGCACTGACAGCTCTAATTGCCAAGGTTGGTTCCTACAGCAAACAGAATGTTAGAATTGTAGAAACTGTTGCATGTCACATATGCTGTTTGGCATACTGAAAGTCATGGAATCGGTATGCATTTTCAAGGGGAATGTTGCTACACCTCCTAGTTTTTGTGAATTATTGTTTCTGGGAAACTATAAAAATTGAACTTCCTGTTGATCACTGGAACCATGTGAGCATGCATCTGATGTATCGATTAGGTTAAATGAAGTAGTTTGAATGGCCTTTTATGAATACTGTTTTTTCTTAAGTTGAATAATGCATTAAGTTTGTGCATCTATGTAGCACCTATAGAGTACTACACAAGACAAACATTCTAATGGAGAGTAAGAATATCATCTTGATAGCTTGTATTCAATTTTAATAGTAGTTGTAATATAATAGAAAAAAGGTGTTGCATTTCCCAAATATTTCATTTCCTCGTATATTCTTTTCCATTGTCCCTTCACCTAAGGTACATCATCAGCCAGCATAGGACAGAGCCAGTCTTCAGTGACTGCCACACCTGGAGACATGGTCGTCCTGACCTGTGAGGCAACAGGCTCTCCACCACCAACCATCTCATGGCAGAGGTTTGAACAAGATGTCTCCGAGTTTGATGACCGAAGGTTCCAAGTTAGCGAGGACGGTGTCTTGACCATCTTGCATGCTAAGGTCAGCGATTCTGGACCTTTCTTGTGTGTGGCAGATAACGGCATTGGGGAACCAGATATAGCCACCTTTGAAATTACAGTTTCAGGTGAGAGTGCTAAAAGTTAATGCTTGATTGTGATAATTAAAGTCGTAAATGTGAGCATGGACAATTTGTAATCAAAACAAATTTAGGTGAAAAATGCAGAAGACCATCATACAGACATTTTTAATTTGACAGAGTCTTCTCACCAAGAGGTTGATGCATTTATCCCTTTAAATATACATATCATTTGTTTTCATAGTCATTAACCAAATATGTTTTATAGGTAGCATAACAGGACAATACATTCTGATACCTCAAATGTAACCTTTTGTGAAACTTCTATTCTCACTTTCTTCTATCTTAAAAGACCGTTCTCGACCTACAAGGAGGCGCGGTCACCGCCAGTCTCGCATCAAGGTCCGGGAAGGCAAGAGCGTCAACATGAACTGCCGAGCCAAGGGCAACCCTCTCCCTACCATCACCTGGGAGTTTCAGGGAATGGAACTGTCTGATATTGAGAACAGGATCACTAAAGGAGCGGGAGGACTACTCAAGATTGCTGATGTCAGTCTGGCTGACATGGGTACCTACAAGTGTACGGCTAGGAACATGTATGGCATTATACAGATGAGAGTGTTTACTCTTATCGTGGAAGGTGAGATTCAAAATTTAGTTGGGAGCTGCAGATAGCACTTTCATAGTGGACTTTGTTTGTGCTATTCACATTTAAATAGAATTCATTTTCGTTTGCACTCTTCGAGAAGAGACCCAGAAAACAATTGTATTAATTATGAAGCCGGTACTAATTTGCTCAATATTTTCAGCTACATTTTAGATTTGGGAGGATACATAAGAATAATGTATTGTACTTATGATCAGCTGTGGCATAGGCACTGACAAAATCAAGCTGTCAGGTATTCTTTCTTTACCACTTGCCGCCTATCCTTTCTCATTTAAACAGATAATTATTAATCATACATAATTTTTTACTAAAGTATACAAAATAGGAGAGTTATTTGTCAGATCAAAGAGAATTTTTACTTCCTCAACGTAATAGACATTATCACAAGTTAACTTGCCCAGGAAACATAAAAGGTTAATTTGTATGTATCAGCTAGAATCAGCTGAGAATCGGTGATTAATATTAACTAGCCAGGGGTTTTGTGTTCCTTTAACAAAATAATGTTTAGTTTCACATTCTTGATACTTGCACCACTTATATTCCTTCATTTTCAATATTCCTCTCATTCTTTCTTTTTGCAGCCGAAGTTGCAATAGTGGATCCTCCCCTCAGTCAGCAAATCACCGAGGGTGACACAATCCAGCTTCTATGTGGGACCACTGGATCACCTAAACCAAACGTAATGTGGAACCGTAATGATGCTCCACTACCCAACACTAATCGCTTTGTCATCGGTCAAAATAATGATCTTACAATTAGAGGTAAATTTATCCATCTTCTTAAGAGAAACTATTGTACAAAGGAGATATCTAAATTGTAGAGACATAATATATGAACAAATTTACACCTGATAATACATCTCAAAATATATTGAGAATGCATAAATATGATGACAATAGGCTTTCATAGTCTGTTCATGTAGTATATAAAATCTTTTACAGAGATGTATATATATATATACATATATATATATTAGCTTAATATTGTTTGCATGTATCATGTAAAACACAGTGTAATATTGCAGAACTTTAAGCTTGCATATAAGAAAAGTTGATGTGATTCCTTTCAGTTATGGTTACTTTAGTATATTGATGGTTAAGAATGTAATCTAAACAAGTATTTTGATCCTCTTCCATTTAGATATAAAGCAAACAGATCGTGGTAAATACTCGTGTACAGCAGCCAATGGAATCAGTACAAGAACAGCCAATGCAGTCATTTCTGTCTCAGGTAAGTTGATGTGTCTATTGTAGGAAATGGTGGTAAAAATAGTGGAATTCTGACAGAATCTGTATATTTTTAGGTCATCCAAGTTGAAAATAGCCAATCAATGTGGTGTACATTAATATAGCTTGTCAATTTATGTCAATAAAAATGCAGGTAAATTTTATAGTGTAGTTAAAGATACTATGTCCCTTTTGCAGCCAGAACTTAGAACTTTGCAGGAATTATGAATGTGTCATGTATCTCCTATCTGAAATTTAAAGGTTAGCAGTGTCCTAATATTCAAATTATGCAAGGAAACCTGTTTACTTGCTAGACTTCACTGTCAGACACTATTGTCAGTATTGAGTGACTGACTGGCTTTTTCTCTTCTTTGGTAATAACATACATAAAATGAGCTGTAAAGGATTTGTCTACATCAATAACCCACTTCTTGTAATGGCCAAAATTAAACTTGATTGAATCTTTGCGCAGCATAAAACGTACGACCATGCGGTACAATGGTCTGAAAATCAAGACTATTACTTATTGGCTCTATAGCTCCTAAGTTGATTTGACAACTAATAGTCGTTATTTTCCCACTTAAAGACGTTTTCAAGACCCCTTTTTTAAGGGGAGTTCTAAATTAGTATTATCTTTTAAATGCCATTGGAATCTAACCTTTTTCTTTTTGTGGCCTGCAAATGGGACATAGTACCTTTAAGGCACATAAAGATGCTAACATGCAATATACCCTCAGAACATATACCAGTACTCTTTATCATTATCAACAATATCATCATCATCATCATTATCATCATCATCATTATCATCATCATCATCATTATCATCATCGTCATCATCATCATCACATATCCATCGTTTTGATGAAACAAGGATATCTAATCTGTCTTCTTCTATTTTCTTTATTTTTTAGGTATTTTAGGTGCCGAGGTGGATCCAAACTGCCAAGACTCGCCACAGTACGTATCATGTCAGCTGATCGTTATAGCAAAGCTCTGCCCGACGTATCCTTACATCAAGTTCTGCTGTAGAACATGTAGGGACAATAACATGCTACCGCTCACTACTGCTAGGCCTTGAACGTATGAGGAGCTAGCTGATTCTACCATTTTGAAAACTGGATATGCACTTAATCTTTTTCATATTTTATGAAAAGGATTAGTTTGATTACCCCATGTAATTGTTACTACGGTACTCATTTTATGACAAATGATCATCAAGAGAAAGTAGAAAGTATATGTAAAACTCCCAATCCAACAATATCACATTGCAAGTTATTGTTCTGTCCTGTCTTTTAAAAAGTATATCCAGCCCCAAAATAAGCCTTCAAATCAGAAACTTGCAGAGTTTAGGGAGATTAATACCTACACAAAGTTATGTATCGGGTAATAGAGTTTTGATTCTGATGTCAATTTATATTCTTTGGGGTTATGATTCAATCAAAATTTGTACTTAAGTGGAATAGAACTGCTTTATGAGGACTTTCAATATTTTATAACAGTTGAAGATACCAGTATCTTGTAAATTTCTTTGAACTATTGATTTGTTTATGACATAATTTCCCCTCTGATTTTAGATCAAGTCCAGCAGTGTAACAGATAAATAGAATTATGTTTTGTGTACCTGACATCAAGTTTTAACAAATAACGTTTATCAATATTTTGCAATATGAGATTATTCATGTACATTTGTACATGAGTAGTATGGTATGCATAATTCATTTGCTTCAAAATGTTTTGAAACCCTGGAACTGATGTTCTTATTTTTAAGGGAAAATGTTTCTTCTCATGAAGTCAGTCATGTCTGACATTGTGATGTGACTGGAATGTTACTTAAGTGGGAACATTGTTGAATTTCTCTGTGCTAGATGACACCTAATATTATGACCAAATATGGAAGACAGTGTAAATACATGAATGCAATTCTCAAGGTGGAACCCTGCATTGTCTTTCAGTACATTAACTCTTTCAGGCCTAGAAATAATTTTCATTTTGTAAGCACAATGTATTGTATATTTGAACAACATATTTGCAAATTGTCCTGAGTATGCACTAGAGTCCAGCATTGTCCACATTTACTTGTCATGAAACCTGTAGGAAAATGTGCTTCTAGAATGTTTATGTTAAAAAAACTTGTTTCTAAAATATCATAAAATATTTATGTGCTTCAGGTAATAATAGTTTTTTCAGTGTAAACGAGTCTAGTGTAAATAGATATTCTTTTGAATAAATGGCTTTTAGTAAGGAGTCTTTGAGCCTCTTATATATTCTCAATTGCAAATTTGTTTTTAAAGTTTTGTAGACCAAGCCCAAAACACTTCTTTTGTACATAACACCTGTGGTATTAATACTTCTTATTTATAAATATATATATTTCAATGGGTGCTTTTTTTGTATGTTTCTACTTGTGTGTCTATGATGTATGTTTCTAATTGTGTGTCTATGTTGTAGCTATGTAATAAAATATATTATCCTTGTTTTTTTTTAATGTGATCAAAATGATTCATCAATCTGTTCATCTATAGCAAATGAGGTGAATCAAAAACCTGTAAAATAGGAACTTTGTCTATGTTTATTCATTGCATTTTTTATATTTTGGTAATTGGTACCGTTTTTTCTGAAGAGAAAACGGTATCATGTACCTTCCACAATGGTGCTAAAATGAATTGCTGCATTCTGATATGCCAAAGTGTACTGCGACAAGAATAAATTCAGACTATTTTCTACTTTATTCGGTTCCATTTTTATATCCACATGCTTATTTTGATGTTTTGTTTTATATAAGGTTGTCATGAAGCAATTCTTTTAGTAGCTGTAATATAATTTTAATGAATAAATTGTTTGTATTCACGAGTATATAATGTATTGTGACTTGATGAATGTCTTTATGATGCAGAATGATAAAACCCTGTTAACTGCATGTTTTCCATAATTGATTTTCTACAAATAAGAAGCAATACGTGAAATAAATTGAAATAGATTATCTTGTATCTGGTCAATTAAAGATATTGTCACTTGTTCACCACCCTACATGTTATTTTCAGTACACGGGACCAAGAAGGAATTGTCAAAGCATATAATGTAGCATATTATACCTACACCTAACAACTATGCATGGATTTCATTCTACTTAGCAACTATAATGTAATGGCAATAAGTGCACTTGATAAGAGGATTGATTGTATTGCTGCCTATTGGTGTGTAGCTGCTGTATCACAAGTCTGCAGCTTTGAACAGTTCTACTTCTAAATGTATGTACATTCATGCTGCAGAATGTAACAGGGATTTTTTAAACATCATTTTCGTTTTTTATAATATCACTGTTTTATGTTCCATAATATGTAATACCTCAAGCACTATTTTGGTTTACTTGATCAGAATTTGATGTACCAATATCACTTAAAGTAAAGAAAAAAACGTTCTGAGGAGACAAGTACATGTTACTAAGGGCATTTCTACAGCTGTTGTTTACATAGCAATGATCTACTAAATGATATACTTCAACAATTTACAAATAATAACTAACCTATGTAAATGTCATCATTTTAAATATTAAATGAGCATCTACATTTATAGCAAGGTATGTAGTATGTAAAACTACCATATTTTTTAATCGAGGTCATTAATTTGTTCTTGCAATGTTCTATCATGGAATGCAAATGATTAGAACATGCATTATTCTTTAAAATGAATTGTGTAATCCATTTCCATGATTGGTGTACATATCCAGTATATCCCCGAATTGGTAGCAAGGTGATGTATCCTTATCATTCCAATTCTAATTCATTATGGACTCTTTTTGATGGTGCAAAAAAATATACAATGTACTGTTTGGTTTGTAAGAGACTGCTTTTAGATTTTTATGAAAATGGATAACAAATGGCACATCCTTTGTTATTAATCAACCAGTCAGCTCTAACAAGAACGGTTCCTACATCATTATTTCAATTTAAAATGTAAAATTCTCTGTATGAGTTTTTGTGAACAATAAAATATAGTGGTACATCCATCCCCCATCCTGTTTGGCTCGATGATACCAAAAAAAAGAAGATCTTTTCAACATTCAGTTCTCTGTTTAAATCAATATTTGTGTGCATTTGATGTAGACCTTTAATTTGTTTTGTTTTAATGACTTTGTTCTTTTCTACACATTGTAACCGTAAAGTAGGGATATTTTGTCATTAGTTTAGACTATTTATCCTGTACAAATGGTACTTATAATAACAATGTATATGTGTACATGTAGGTCAAGCTAAACAAATGAAGTTTGTTTATGTATTACGATCACACTTCTGAACAAGGGGAAAGGAAAGAACAGTTTCAGATTTATATAAATTATATATCTTTGCTTTATGAGGTTTGTACATTGTAATCATCATCAGGAAATATTGCATTCATTGTTGAATCAAATTCTCATCATAACATGATGAAAATCAATTTCAAACTTTATGTCTATCCTCTAAAGTCGAGTTAATCATATATTCATTGTTAGATAGGAGGACCAAGTTACTTTAAAAGGACCAAGTTACTTTAAAGGACCAAAAATAGAAAGACCTGTGTCTTCCACCATCATGAATCAATTACATTTGTTACAGTTGTAAATCAGTGGAAATTATCAACAGTTTTTTCGAAAATAAAACTTTGCATTTGTATAAATTCAGTTTTCATTGTGTTCTCTGTCCTTATATTATATTATATTGCTCTGCAGTTAATATCCTTCACTTAGAGAATTACAAATTTCATTCCTTCGAACCCATTCTAAAATCCTACTGCGAAATGTTGCAACCCTCGTAGCGAATCTTTAAAGCCTGGAGCAACTGTTGCTGAATCATGAGTTGGAGCACAAATGTAGTCTGCTACTACAAAAAAATAAATGATGAATTACTTGGATGGGCTTTTGTTTGATTATAATATATTTGTGCATATATACTGAGACATCTTAGTAGTCCAAATATGTGGAAATTTAATGCCCTTAAGAACAGCATCTACTTTTGCAAGGTGCCAATGTTTCTTGCCTCCCAAACAATTTCAAGTTTTCAACAAGGTAGAAAACATTCTTAATGTATAATACTTGTAGAGTATGTGAAGAATACTTTCTTTTTTATTTCTACAAAAAAATTTGTTAGTTCATCTTTACACAATCTCAATTTATTTAATTCACAGCTCGTTAAATAAAAAATTAAGAAGATGAGAAAAATTATTTTTAACAGAAGAAATAAAAAATTAGTTTAAAATGTGGTTTAGCATTTCAAAATTTTCTCCATTTAAAATGAAGCATAAAATATTACCTTACTATCAAACACATACAATGACATACTAGACCAGGGAGATGTAAAACTCCTATCTCCCTGCTTTGACATATTGGGAAAAATTATGGTGCTCCTGCAAACATAAACAAATAATAATAATAAAATATTTAGCTTTTATATAGTGCTTAATACAATGTCTCTAAGCACTTTACAAATATACTATTACCCCGGTCGTTGAATTCAGTGCTTGCCTGGACACACTGTGTGCACAACCTCTACTCCCTGGGGAGCATTCCAGCCAGGCGTTACTTTAGGGGAAGTTGTAGATTAATCAAAGAAAAGGGGAAAAAAGGGGGACCCCTGAACTTGCTCTCATACATACAGTATATCTTAATCTCATTTCTGATAATAAATTGGAAAGACATTTGAACCTACAAGTATGTGAAAAGAAGAGATGTCAAACTTGCAAAATCATCAAAAATCACAACAGGACATGCATGAAAGGCCACTGGTAAGATACGAGGTCGTGATGAAAGAAATCTCTTTTAGCAAATCAATGGCATGGTGGGTAAGGAGACAAATCCAAACTGTCTTCAAATGGATGAGTCGTCCACTGACATGGTCTAGTGGTTTCTCCACACCATAATGTTATTCATTCCTCAACTTCATGCTCATCTCCGATCCATCCATATATTCTGGGTTGCTCTTCATTTATACTCTTGGTGTTCCATCTACTACTAGTACTGGCTTCTGCAGATGGATTTGCACATCTAAATAGTCTGATGGCAGAAACAACATCTCTTCCTTTTCCTGTTAACTCCATCTTTACAATATCCTAGTATTCTTGTAACACTGGTCATCAATTACTCTGATTTTCTCTGCGATCTCTTTCTTCTGTCAGCCGTTTTGTTAGAGCTATCTGTTGCTCCAGCTCCATTCGATTCTGACGTTTTCTCTCTTGCCTTTCCAGGTCTTTGTAGATGCCTTCACGTAATTTCTGATAAAGAAAAATCAAAACGGTGATAAGTGACCACCAACATGATTTATGTTGGTGTGACCACAGTTCGTGCTGGGAGCTGGCATGTACATTCTCATTGGGCAATATTTTGCCTTGCAAATTATGCAATTTTCTTATATCTGATGGATCAATTTTTAGAATAAATCAGCTGTAAAATCTGATGCACAAATTAAAGTCTCCTTTTTTAAAATGAATTTTTCGTTAGTTGCAACACATGCCAATCCGACATCAAATTTTTTGATAGCGAATACCACATATCCTAATATCTTTAATAAGTATGTAATATTTTTAAAAATCTTCGCAAACTTGGTCACGTCGCCCCATCAGATCATACATTGTCTACAATGAATTACAAACATACTGAGCACTCTGCCAAGTTTGTCAGAGTATAAAGCTGTGACATCACTTAATCGTTATATGAATATAACTCGTAATATTATCAAAGATATCAAAGATATCAAAGACAATTTCATGAACATTTGTTTGTGGCACTCACTGACTCAGTCCTAAAATTAAAAACAATATCAATGTTAAGAACTTTAGAATAATTAGATAATTTTGAAAACAGTCAATGTTCATGATCATGGCATGCACGTGGATACTTTTGTTTACCCATTTAACAAATTTATTCAAACGTTCACGTTCATTGTCAACATTAAACTAATTAGAGGTACTTGGTACTTGGTTGGTTAGTCCTCCAAAATACTCGTCTGAGTAACAATGAGGGTTCATCAATAATCAATAGTACAAACTACAATACACGAAATCTAACGCATGGGACTGTAGATAATAAACATGTTGATTACTGTGCAATTAACTGCCTTAAAACACATAAATGTGAATTACCATTTGATCAGACTTTTTCTTGTAGTGAACACCACCTATTATTGCTCCAGCAGTAACTATAGACAAGCAAAGCGTCACTTTTGAAGCTGTCGACATGTTCGATGCAGAACCTCTGAAAACCTCGGAACACAGCGACTACTTATCATCCCGTACTCATCGCCGAGAGTTCCGGGGTGAGCTTAACAGACCGTACATGACTTAACAGCGTCCTTTGCAACTGGGGGAAACGGCTAGCATGGGATCGTCAATTATATTAAAAGGGAGTTTTTCTTATCTTGATTTTGTTTAACTCATATTTTATCAAGTGTTAGGTATAAAAAATGTAATTTAAATATATTTGATAATTTTGAATACCATGAATATTCTTAGGCTTTATTAATTTGAGGAAAATGTTAGCTGAAATACCTTTACAAATATTTTAATGTTTACTACTTTAACCTGCCAAAGAATAGTTTATTCGTAATAGACGTTCAAAATTGTACACAAAACAGAGCTTGTGTGACGGATCAGAGGAAAATAAGGAGGTAAAATTAGATTTCTAGAAATTCTAGGTATGTTTTTTCCATCTAGCATTGTTAAATCATATGATTCTTTATTTCAATAATTTAACCAACGAAATTCATGCAAGATTTTAATCAAATATGCCTGTTTTGGGCGAGAATGTTGTCAACAAGTGCAGTGCCAGTGAGAGTGTGAGTCTGTGACCGTGTGTGTGTGTGTGTGACTGTGATGTGACTGAGCTGAGATGAAAATATGAGTTGAGTGACAAAAAATAAATGTCTGTGAATTCGTGCAGGGCCGGGCATGCACTGATGCTCGTGAAATAAATGTCTGGTAAGGCACTGGTATGGGGAAAACTAACATTTATTTTGTCAGATATTATCGCTCTCCAATAAAAAAAATGGTAAGTCTTGACAGTCCGACAGCTGGCAGGGTGAGCACTGCTCTGACTCTAAGTAGCTGAGCTGACTCCTCTGAAGATCAAAACTAAGCTTGTATACTAGTACTAGACCTAGTAGTAGTAGGAGGACTATCTAGACCAAAAATGTCTGTCTCTTTCATTCGTTAGCCTCTGATTTGGCTAGGGTCGGCTCCCTACCCAAATCAGAGGCTAACAAACGAAAGAGACAGAAATTTTCTGTCTATGACCTGTCTAGGCTAGGGTCTAGTAATAGTCTAGACAAATATCCCATTTATATCTGCCAAAAATGTGAGGTGATCTCCAGAGGTCGTGCCATGTCACCCCTTGTTCACTGTGGGCAAACGCTTCAACATAAAAGACATTAAGCATGACAAAGTAAGAACACGTCATAAACACAAGGTAAAAGTCGTGCTAGACTGTCTAGCACAATGCAAGGTAATCTACAGAGGTTAGGCTGCCAAATGGGTAATGCACTCTGATTGTGTAAACTTCATCTACTTGCAAATTTCTTAAGAGAGGATAAACCTCTGGATGGTTATTTGCAGTTTATGGCTAATTGAACAAAGATGTGGTCTTTTAGGTGCACCGCGACTTCGATCAATATTGGATCTAACCTTTAAATATCATTTCATTTCTTAAAAACAGATTAATCTAGTTTACAGAGAAGCTGTTTAGTTCAACTTGACCTTCAAGAAAAAAAAACCAAGATGGCAGCAGGAGCAGTGGTTGTTCCTTCCATAATCCCGCTAAGGATTCCAGTCCAAGGGAAAAGCAAGACAGACATTGACACCAACACTTATGTAGAGCTCAAAAGTAGTAAGTTTGGCACATATTGATTGCTTATACAAAATATTATTACTATTATTATTGTTTTATTCTTATTTTATCATTTGAGATTAAGCTATTTTATTGCAATCATAATCATGCTCCTTCTTTATCTTCTGAAACTTGTAATTAATCTTTCATTTCCTTCGCAGCCACCCCAGATATTGATATCTTCTACACCATTGATGGCACGAAACCAGATCCATTCCAGACCATTGGACAGAGAACTACATTCATGTACCAGAGACCTTTCAGGCTTACAGAGGGCAGAAGAACTGTCAAGGCTCTTGCTATGGCCAGGTTAATTGAGTTGCCAAGTTTGTTTTGTCACAAATGATCATGAATTTATTCTTTTTCCTGACTAGCTATTTTTATGCCTCCGTTACGAAGTAGCCGGAGGCATTATGTTTTCGGGTTGTCCGTCCGTCCGTCCGTACGTCCCGTTCTCGTGATCGCGTTATCTGAAGAACCGATTGACGGATTCCTGCCAAACTTTGATCATGTATGTATCTTGCAGAGCCGATGAACTGATTAGATTTGGGGGTCACGAGGTCAAAGGTCACAGGGCTCATTATGTATGCAAAAACAGCTCGTGATCGCGTTATCTGAAGAACCGATTGATGGATTCCTGCCAAACTTTGGTCATGTATGTATCTTGCAGAGCCGATGAACTGATTAGATTTTGGGGTCACGAGGTCAAAGGTCAAAGGTCACAGGGCTCATTATGTATGCAAAAACAGCTTGTGATCGCGTTATCTCAAGAACCGATTGATGGATTCCTGCCAAACTTAGGTCATGTATGTTACTTGCAGAGCCAATGAACCGATTAGATTTTGGGGTCATGAGGTCAAGGTCAAAGGTCATGCGGCTCATTATGTATGCAAAAATAGCTTGTGATCGCATTATCATTAGAACAGATTGATGGATTCCTGCCAAACTTAGATCATGTATGTATCTTGCAGAGCCAATGAACTGAGTAGATTCTTGGGTCATGAGGTCAAAGGTCAAAGGTCATGGGCTCATTATGTATGCAAAAATAGCTTGTGAACGCATTCTCATTAGAACTGACAGATGGATTACTATTTAACTCGGGACATCTTGCGGAGCCAATGAACTGAGTAGATGTTAGGGTCATGAGGTCAAAGATCAAAGGGTCATATATGTATATGAGAAATTGCTTGTAATCACGATATTCTGAGAACCTGTTAATGGATTACAATTGAACTTGAATTTGAAAAATTTCTTCTGTTTTGGTTTGTAAATTGCTCTATGACGGAGGCATCATTTCGACTGCGCGCAGTCGAAGTTCCATCTAGTTTTATTGATTTATTTTATGTACTTCCTTCTTGAGAAATTGAAGAATTAAGACTAAATGCCTTAATAAGAAAAAGGGTCTTTGACTGTTGCCATGAAGGTGTTGCGAAACGCTTCAATCGCTTGAAATTCAGTCAAGAGGTGAAGGGTTTGAATCACAGCCAGGGTAATCATATTTTAGTGACATTAGCACCCAAGGCAGACAGAAATTTTCGCTATACGAGAAGCCACTTACTATACTGGTATATTTTAGCATTTAGTGTCACTTCTAAATTACCATCTGATCTTTCAGTCTATTTGGTTTGTGTATAATTTGAAAGATTCTGACTTTACTGAGATACTTCCTGTCCATAAATCACTCTTTCTCTCCTCCTATTCTTCTGGTCGATTCTTCTGAGTCACTGCTTTGTTCTTTGTTTCATGTTCTCATACTTGTGTTTTGTTATCTCTCTTATATCAGGGATCAGACTAGAGAGAGTTTTGTAGTAAGCAAGACTTTCTTTGTGGAGTGGGTGAGAGAGGAAACTGATGAAACGGACGATGAGGAGAGTCTGTTAGAGGCAGAGGCCAGGAACCAAAGCCCTGGACTTAAGGTAGAGTAGATTCACATGAATTCATGAGGGGGCAAATTAAGAATTATCTTGTGACTTTCAAATGGTGTCCAAAACCAGAACCGGTACTCATTTGTTTTTTAAGTTTTAGATATCAAAGCTATTTTTATCATACTTTCTGTAGCATATCTGCCTGTTCACTCAATGTTTAATCTTTCTTTTCTTTGTCTTTTTTTCAATCAGAGACATACATCTTACAGTTTAAATGAATAGAGGATTTCATACAAACACAGAAGCATGTACAATATGGCGCATGGACTGATTTAGTATTAAAAAAAAGATATTTGGCATTTTTCTGATTGAGTTACTACAATTTTCCTGAGTATATATATATATATATATATATATATGTTGATAATTAAATATTAAACTCATACTTAATGCCAATAATACATTAATCTCCTTTTGAACTGATATCTACAACAGCTGACAGCCTCCAAGACAACAACTGCTCTCCTAAAGAGAGTAGTAGAGGCAGAGACCAGAAGACCTGACTCAATCAAGGGATCTAACTACAGGAAACCTACTGTAGGAACCCGCTTCATGGAAAATAGGATGGGCACCAAGAAACCCAGCGTCTCAAGGGGTCAAAAGGTCGGACAAGGAAAGGTAAGAAAAAAATTAATTCTTTAAAAATTCAAGACATCATTTTTAGTAGCATACACTCACACTTTGAGATGTAATTAATTTGTTGACAGCAGAAACAGAAGTTCTTTAGATGTCTGAGAACGATGTTTTACCCCAAGCATCTGCTTGTTCCTTTATATTGTTAGTTTTGCATACATATGGTAATTGGCATAATTTATGTATGTATAAACCTCAAAACCTGCCTATATAGAGATGCAATTACTTTGTGCTGACATACGATAAGAAAGTTTGTCACATACATGCAAAATAATATGAGATCTTCAATGAATAGAAGAATTTTTTTTTTTTTTTTTAGTGTGAGTTTGCTCAGTACTATGCTCATAATTTGGGCAAAATGGTAGCTTTGAAGATTGTGTGAGATGCTTAACAAGTTTCAAGTCAATAAAGTTGTAAATTGTTTTATTTACTGTTAGAAAACTCCTGATCTTGCAAGTGAAGATGATAAGAAGAAGACTAAAAAGATTCCAGAGAACTTTACTCAAGCAAACAGAATACAGAGGCAAACAGATTTCTTAAAGTAAGTACAAACTGCATCTCTGTATATAAGCATGAACTATCATTTCATATTAAGATATTCAGATTCAAATTCTCAGAATCATGCTTCAGGATAATTTTTTTTTTACAGATTAAAAACTAAGTTATGTGTAGTTAAACTGTTGCATTCATTGGGATGTATAGGCCTCAGGTTTATTTAATAATTATTTTTTGAATTTTCTTTCTCATTGTAATCAGGTGGGCTGTATAACGTACAGACCACCTTATAATTTCGTTAGAATTGCCTTTATTATTTATTTATTTATTTATTTATTTATTAAATATTTTTCTTATTTCTAACCACTTTTTTGTTAGCAAGATAACTTAAAAATGCCTCGATCAAATGCCTTGAAATTTGGCACACATATGTAAACGCATATGTACAAGGCACAATAACGTTTTCAACATTGTCCTTCACTGATGACGTCATCTAGGCGCCATTTTGTAAAATTTTACGAAAATTAACTCATGATCATATCTTCATAACCAAAAGCTATTTCTCTTTCTTATTTATCATGATCGAGGTCAATATCCGTCCGGTCAATTTCAGGTAAAATAACGCGCGCGTGCGCGTACGTCCGCGCGTCGATGCGCGCGCAAAATTTGAAAATGCTCAAAATCGTCTTAAAATCATTTTGCATACGTTTTAGGCCATTCTAAGCATTTTATAAAAAATCGCCCACACACACGCGCATGCGCGCGGCGCGCGCGTTTTCGCGCGTAAAACTATTACACAACATAGAATCGCCATTTTTTTTCTTTCATAGTATTCCACATATTTTTACATACAAATTGATACCATGCTTGTCTCTTTATGACTATTAATAATGGAATGATGGCCCGTTTAACATAAATTTCCGTGCGCGCGAGCTCTTGTAATACATAGCATATATGGGAAAAAACATGCCTATACAAGATCCATTGTAGCCCTTTAGGATGCAAGGTGACCCCAATTTTTGGGTCATATTTTGATACAGTATGAATTGGAGATATGATTTCATGTCTCATTTGAACCTCAATTAACTCATGACGTCATCATAATGGCCTCCAAACTCAAAATTTCAATTTGCATATTATGACGTCAGCATATTTACGGAAAATTGATTGTTTCTCTGTAAATATTGATTGATTGTCTTCAAAATTTTGATATGTTTTAGCTGAGACAATTCTCTACAAATAAAGTTGGCCCAAATTTTCATTTTGACAAAGGCATCAGGGCGTATTTTCGCGATTAACTCTTTGTTTGCTTTGTTCGCCGATTTGCACGGACGTAGGCGTGCCAACTTCGCATTTTTGCACAGATGTATACGAGTCAATTAGACATTCATAATACCGCTCGCAGTGTGTAGCCACGCGTTGCGTTTACTATTGTTTACATTGTATACATCGCACACTTTCCGGTAAACTGTTTTTCTTCATAGTGTTACATTCGAAATTACCGTGTATTTAGCGGTTTTCTTTGGATTTTTTTTACTGATGTTACGATGGCACCTGCTGGAAAACGTCAACGTGTGTTTAGTGTAGAGGAGGCTCGAGATCTTGTTACTATGGAAGCATGGAGCATGGACTCTGATTCCGACGAATCGAGCAGTGACGAAGACTCTAGTGATAAAAGTGTTCCCTGAGAGTAGACTGATAGAATAAGAATGAATAAAAATTAATGAAAGAGCTAGAGATGACAGCAAGAAAGAGAGTAGACTGATAGAATAAGAATGAATAAAAAAAATGAAAGAAGGAGATAGAGATGACAGCAAGAAAGAGAGTAGACAGTGATAGAATAAGAATGAATAAAAATAATGAAAGAAAGAGATAGAGATGACAGCAAGAAAGAGAGTAGACTGATAGAATAAGAATGAATAAAAATTAATGAAAGAGCTAGAGATGACAGCAAGAAAGAGAGTAGACAGTGATAGAATAAGAATGAATAAAACTAATGAAAGAAAGATGTATCCTGTCTTGCCGTCATCTTTATATCTTTCTTTTATTATCTTTATTCATTCTTATGCTATCAGTGTTTACTCTCTTTCTTTCCGTCATCTCTATCTTATTATTATTATCATTTTCCTATCTATATGTACCCTATGTCTTGCCGTCATCTGTATATCTTTTTCTTATTATCTTTATTCATTATTATGCTATGAGTGTAATACTCTCTTTCTTGCCGTCATCTCTATCTCATTATTATTATCATTTTCCTATCTATATGTACCCTATGTCTTGCCGTCATCTCTATATCTTTCTCTTATTATCTTTATTCATTCTTATGCTATCAGTGTTTACTCTCTTTCTTTCCGTCATCTCTATCTTATTATTATTATCATTTTCCTATCTATAATTATGTACCCTATGTCTTGCCGTCATCTCTATATCTTTCTCTTATTATCTTTATTCATTCTTATGCTATCAGTGTTTACTCTCTTTCTTGCCGTCATCTCTATCTTATTATTATTATCATTTTCCTATCTATATGTACCCTATGTCTTGCCGTCATCTGTATATCTTTCTCTTATTATCTTTATTCATTCTTATGCTATCAGTGTTTACTCTCTTTCTTGCCGTCATCTCTATCTTATTATTATTATTATTTTCCTATCAATATGTATCCTATGTCTTGCCGTCATCTCTATATATTTCTCTTATTATCTTTATTCATTCTTGTGCTATCAGTGTTTACTCTCTTTCTTTCCGTCATCTCTATCTTTTTATTATTATCATTTTCCTATCTATATGTACCCTATGTCTTGCCGTCATCTCTATATCTTTCTCTTATTATCTTTATTCATTCTTATGCTATCAGTGTTTACTCTCTTTCTTTCCGTCATCTCTATCTTATTATTATTATCATTTTCCTATCTATATGTACCCTATGTCTTGCCGTCATCTCTATATCTTTCTCTTATTATCTTTATTCATTCTTATGCTATCAGTGTTTACTCTCTTTCTTTCCGTCATCTCTATCTCATTATTATTGTTATTTTCGTATCAATATGTATCCTGTCTTGCCGTCATCTTTATCTCTTTCTCTTATAATCTTTATTCACAGTAAAGTCCTTTCATTTCATATCACTATTTCTCTCTCATAATGTCTCTCACGTCCGTTCTCCATATTTTATTCATTGCATACTCCACTCGTCAATCATTTCTGATAATAAGCTCTCTCACAATAAAGTAAATGGAAAACAATGCAATATAGTTTATATTTTAAGATTGATTCATTCTTTCTTTGTATATCTATGGCTGTGATAAATGTACTTGAAATCAATTTTATTGAGGGGTAAAGAAGGTGAGAGAACAGATGCGGTGAACATTCATAATGAGACATTTCAATAAGATGCTGATTATGTCATGTATATCACATATAATATATTATGCCTATACCATTTTTACATGCTCATACCAGTGGGCAAAATCAATAACATTCTCTTATTTCTTATTGACTTATCATGGCACAACAAAGAAAAACATCCCCACGACGTCCCTTTTCATGCCCCGCTAAACCGGACATTGACAATAACCTGGGGTAATAGGGATTTCAATGGGCAGATTAGCCCATTGTCAAGGGTGGCTGAGCGGGGTACTTTCAAGTCTCTCCCTATTGAACTTCTTTTCTTCAACAACCTAAATACTAACCTTCTGAATTGTTAGAATACTTGAGCAAGGTATGTAAAGAAAGGTAAGAAGTCCACCTTTCTAATAGATTCGATTTGAAGATGTCTTATCATTGCTAAATAAGAAATTCTAGAGGGATAAAAAACTGCCGTAAATAAGAAAAATTAAACATTATATAATTATGATTATTATAAAAATGATAATTCAAAATATAACAAATGACGGTTCATCGAAAAGCACGTTTTCCGGTCTACAACTTTGCTGCACAATATTTTTCATCATGATCATCCAGTGAAGAGTTATAGCCTCTTGATTCAGCAGAGTCAATAAAGATTCCCTCGAAATGTGTGACCCTAAAAGAATGTGGCACAGGGGGGTTTTTTAAGTGGCGCATAAAGAGTTAAAAGGCATGTCAATTTTTCACATTTTGCGTGTATTCTCTATGGGACATGAGTTTTTCTCAAAACTGGATTCTTTCGCGAGCAATATCTCTGTCGTTTAGCTTCGTTTATGCTGAACTTCAAGTATGTTGTAGCTGAGACAATAAGCTATCTCAAATGTACCCTTTATTTTGTCTCAAATTTTAGTTCGACCAGCCCACCTATACTTGTTCCAAACAAGTATTACATATCTAGTTCTATTTTCATATTGATAAGTATACAAAGCTACATGTACTTGAAAGCGGAAAAAAGTTTTAAATATATTAGCTTCATTTTTCTTTTCTTCCAGATGTATCTTCTGTTTTGCTGACCGTCCAGCCGATCCATTTGCTCGTTTCTGTATTTCATGTGGATCACCTGTTCCTGCTATTCCCAATGCCAGGCTGCCCCCTCCAGAGCCTGCCCAAGTAAGGCCGCCTTTTCATTGGTAGCATATTAACACATTACCTACTGGAACCAGCTGATCCCTGTATTAAGCTTTCGGGATTAGAGAACTCAGTCATCAAAGGGTTAAAGATTAAAATGAAATTATAGGAGCGGTAAGGGAAGGAATATTAATAGAGGTCGAGTACATGCGGTACACATTCTGTCGTTTTTAATAGTAAGATGTACATTTATGTGCATAGTGTAACTTTGATTTTATTGTAGTGCAGACAATATCATCAGATTATATCAGATTATTGAGATCAAATAAGTCTATGTGACCATTATGGGTAATTTTAACCCCTGTTGAATCGAAAAATAAATGAAATGCCATGAATGGACAGAGTAACATAATGTTCACTAATTTTGTTTTTGTTATAGCTTGGTATGTGTGTTGGATGTCATTCTATGATACCTCTCAATGTGGCCAAGTGTCTGGTTTGTGAGATGGATGTTCCTCCGCAACTTGTACCACAAGCATCAGTCAAATTACAGGTGAGAATGAGGGTAATTGCTATTCTATGGTATATTTTTGTCTCGCCTGCGTAGCAAAAAGCGAGACATAGGCGTCGCTTTTCCGGTGACGGCGGCGATGGCGACGGCGATGCCGGCTTTTGATATAATTTTAAAAGTATAAGTTCTTAGCATAATTAGCATAATTTCAAAAGTGTTTGTTCAAATTCCATGAAACTTGTACACAAGGGTTATCAAGTATCACAAATCTTATGACGCAAATTCCAGGTCACAAAGTCAAGGTCGAAGGTCATTTTAGGTCAGTATGTGAGGATTACAAATAAAAATAAAATTTGTTATTTTTTCATGTTCCATGAAAGTTATTAATCTTGGTACAAATTATAGTAAATAATTCTTCCAATGACTCTTGGTCAATATTCACTTCAAAATGCTGATTATATTTAGAGGATTTCATTGGGGGGGGGGGGGGGGGGGGGGCCTGCCTATGAATAATGTCCCAACCTCAATTTTTCATCATATTGAATTGCGTAATGCAGGCGAGAGCATTTCCCTTGTTATTCATTTGCGGTGGTGGTTTCTTATGGTAGTACATCTTTTCTAAGTGATGTCTTATTTTGAAGTATCAGAAATTTCTTGGTGGAAATGTTTGAATTATGATATTGAATTTTTGTACATTATTGTATACTATTGACATTAAAATGTGTTTGCTTTTTAATTTCAATATATAGCTAATTGTAGCATTATTTGAGAGGTCATAATTTCATTTTAATTATATTTTGTAATTTGTATTGAATTGTCATGGTTAAGATCTTTCACACATGATTCCTTTGTCAGTGAAAGGGAATCTTCTTTTATATCAGGAAAAATGTAATTCTTATGTCTATCTTCCTCTCATCATTTGCTACAAAGATGTCCACTTCCTTTCAACACATCTTGTTCTCAATATTGTTGTTATTTATCTATTTGACAGGACAAGCTTGTATGCAATGAATGTGGTACCGGTAACCCTGCTAACATGCTATACTGTGTGACGTGTGAACACCCATTGACAGGAGCTAATAGACATCTCAAGGTATGTAATGTTGATTTAATCAGAGATCTTTTCAGTTTGAAATGTTTCAAGGCAGAATATGAATCACAGTATTAAAGGGTGGCAATTCTGCTAATGATAAAGCATGTCTAACTTCCATGCCTGTAAATGATGAGATGAGATATGTACTCAAAAATATGAGGCCTGTTTCATAAAAGAGTTGTGAGGCCACATTCAAGAACGTCCCATTCAAATTCTTGTCAATTATTTAATACTTATTAAATATTGACGTATGATGGTTTTGTGAGACAATCTCATAAGGAATTGGATCAGATCTAGTGTAATCTAGACTACAAGTTCCTTCTGTATTTAGGTTTGTGTCAATGTACTTTTAGAACCAAAAATTTCACTCTTTAATCCTGAATTATTTTAGCCAACATACAGTCAGTTTGCTGCTCCCCCCGAGCCAGGTCAAAAGGGACGTCTTTTGTGCTGCAGCAAATGTGGGCGTGTCAACAGTAGCGATGCTAGATACTGTGATTGGTGCGGTGCAAAGGTCAGTTCAACATCTGAAATAAGAATTTTTTTTTAAGTTGATAATTTGTACCTTTTTTAATGTTGGTTTTCATACACTGACATCAATATTTATGAATGAGTATAATGATCTCATTTTCTGTATTTTAGCAATTACATACATTTCTTGGTTAGTAAATGAGACACACCCAAAATTGAGCTAGTAAACAGTATTTTATATCATTTATAACTCATCCATTGATTGCAAGCAATATTTAGTGCATTTAGGATCGCCCAAACTTCATAACCCATAAATTGAATTCTTTAAATTCTTGACGATCCACCGCTGTATGAAATAACCAATAACTTCTATCTCGTTAGATGCTGAATTTAAGGAAAATATTAGGACTGTCAAGACTGTTATAAATTATCAACAATGTAAAACCTCCCAAATGTAAAGTTGAAACTTTTTATTTTAAGATCGATGAGATCATCATGATCACCCAAAGAAATCATCACATTGACGTGAACTCATGTTATTTAATAATATTATCCATAATTACTACAGCCTGCTCCCACCACATCATTGATGACCTGTTCAAGATGTAAAGCAGCCAATCAAGCGTACTCATCATTCTGTCATTCATGTGGAGTGTTGATTGAACCACCAGTAAGGAATGATCCTAGAAACAATGGCATCACTGTTGGAGGCAAACATACTTCACAGGTATAACATCCTTCTTAATTCAAAAGTTTAACGACTGGATGCAGTCAGCTTTATCTTCCCCCTCCTCGTCCCCTCCCTCCCTCTCTCTCTCTTTTTCTCTTTTTCTCTTTCTCTACTTAACTGCACTCTGTTCTGTCCCTTGATCTCAGACCTGACATAGTATAAATCAATGTAAAGCCTCGGTCGCAAATACCGTTACTGGCTTCTACGAACGCCGTACAAACAATTTTCAGACCATTTTGTAAGATCTTCTTAAGAAGGCCATTCTTACAAAACCAGCATTTGTAGACCGTTCGTAAGATCACAGAATGGTCGATGGCCTTTTCCAAGATTTTTTTTAACATCGTACAAAACCCTCTCTTCATAAGGCAGCTGTGTGAATGCCGTAATTACATCGTAAGAACCACGCAAGATCTTCGTACATTTCGTAGGGTCGATGGACAATCCTAGAAGCCTCGCATTATTACAATGACCGTAAGAACGCCTCAAATTGTTCATAGGAGGCTCTTACGGTGTTCATAAGAACGCCTTACGAGCGGAGATTCTTTTGGTCTTCGTACGAACGACTCCTGGCATTTGTAAGGCGTTCGTAAGGTACTTGTAATTCATGCAAATTTTGAGTTTCAGCGGTTAAAGCCAAGGGCGCGAAGTTCAAATCATCACTCTGTTCAGAAAGCGCAATGTAATAACCAGTTTTAGCCCGGGCTCCAAAGGTCTTCTGTTCCTGTATACAGATATTCAAATAAAAAAAATTTCATAGTGAAATTGTAGAGGGTTGCATACTTGTACAAGTTTATAAGAAAATATAACCGCGAGATGTTTGTACCAGAAATGAATATGTACGTTTCGTTTTTCATAATGCATGGGGCAACACGATGCAACAAATCTGCCAAGGTATTACGGTCCAGCCGGAGATACGCCATGTAGTCACCTTCCGATGGTCCAGCTCAGCGAACAGGGTCTCGTACTGCCCGTACAGTTGCCTCCTCTGTATCCCTGGTCGCACCCACCAGCGTCGTCTTCTTTTCTGTAGATCCTCCGGTCTCTTTTGAACCAAAGCAGCTGCTACTTCTGATCGATCTTCTACCTCCTCCTCCTCTACTTGCAGCTGCAGTTGCAGTTGTAGTTTTCTTCGCAATACAATCATCATGCAATATCAAACTTTCAACAATTATAGAATTTTCAACAGTATACAGCAGCGCTTTTTTTGCAACCCGACCAAATATACAAACAAATTACGAATGACTTGTGAATGCCGTGAGTTACACGTACGACCACCTTGCGAGAACAACAACTTAAGATTGGCTTCGGTCTGACATAAGAAGAACTCAAGGCGTTCTTACGAAAACGTACCAATTCTAGGGCCATTGTATAACCGAAAATCTTTTTGTTTCTCAAGAAGTTCTTGAGTTGTTCTTGCGAATTAAACGGCGTTAGTATGAACTCCGTAAGAAGGACGTAAGAAACTATGCCCCATCTACGAATCTCTACAAACTGTGAAATTCAAAGGATCAGGGAGATTCGTACGAACGCATCATTTTTACGAACATTTGTGACCATAGCTTTAGAAAGAAAATTATGTCCTTGGTAATACTATGTGATGCTCACATTTGCCTACTCTATTATCATACATTTAGGTGTTTCTGTAAAAGTTTGTTGTTCTTCTTGTTACAATGCAATTTATATATTTAGCAAATGTGATGTACACTCTCCTATTTTTAGTCTTTCATTGTCAATGTTTAATTCTAGTATTATTTTTATTCATCAAATCAACCTTAAGAGCACAGAATATGTCCAGAGTTTGACAGAATCTTGAAAAATGATTCAAATCCCTTGTCTTTAAACTCATACACTGATTTGTAAATCCTTACTACCTTCCTGACTATATGATCCCTTAGGTAGTGGACCAGAACGGTGATTCATCCTGGGTTCCCATGACAGTCCCTAGGAAGGAGCCACCTAAGGTCTCTGTCTCCACCATGACGGCAGGGATCTTCTACCCATCCAACAAGGGACTCATCAAGAAGGAGCTAGAGCAGCAGGAGGCTAAGGTCAAGCAGGATGCTATGAGTGACCGTAAGGTCACCCTTACAGCGGTCAGTCCGGGCAAAGGTAATCAATGGTCAGATTCACTTTTTTTCTAGGACTGTACATGTCGCAATTATCTTTATCTTGAATATCTTATTGTGATGTTGAGGTGTCCTTATAATTGTAGGAAATGTTTAAAATGTTAAAAAGGAAGAGATGTAGGAGCTCAATATCATTATTGAAAATGATCATGTTTATCTATTTGCTGATGTTACTTTCCTTTAATTCACCCATTCATTTATTTATACAGTTCAGAAGATAATTAGATGTCTTCAAAGTGGTGAAATTTTCTCATTTCATAACAGTAGTGAAACAAAAGAGTTCCAATAGTGAAACGCAGTCAAATATGATTACACTTTGTTTTAATGCTGTTAAATTTAATGTTGCAAATATCACTTTACTGTGTAGTCATATGAGTTAATGTATCATCCCCTTTCTGTATTCTAGGTTACTGGAGACAACAAATGGATCATGTATGTGGTCATCTCAAAGCGCATGCACAGAACAATACAGACTTCAGGAACATGATTGGAGAACCTAGGATGGGAAAGGTACATCTACATGAACATAGTCTCTTTCTAAAAAGCAAACCCTAGTATAGCAAAGGGCATCCAATTTAACAAAAAATTGCCTCTTGCCTTACTTTCTGTATTACTACTGTCCATTTTATGTCATTAACCATAATTGAGATTAAACTGTGATTTTATTGTTTACCTAAAATATTCCTAATGGTAGTGTATCCCTTTTGAACACCAAATTCTGTAGTACTTTGCAGGAGTTGTGAATATGTCACGTATGTCCTATCTGAGAAATTTAAACGTTAGTAGTGTCCTAGTATTCAAATTATGCAAGGAAACCTGTTTACTTTCTAGACTTCACCATCAGACTCTATTGAGTGACTACAGGGCTTCTTTTTTTCTTTGGTAAAAACATACATGAAATGAAGCTATAGAGGGTACATGAGCATTTGTCTACATCAATAACGTATGACCATTCGGTACAAGGGTCTGGAAATCAGACTATTGAATAAAACAACTCTAACCCCTAAATTCGGCTCCACAACTAATGGTTGTTAATTTGCCACAAAAAGACATTTTCAAGCCCTTTCGTTTTGAGGGAAGTTCTAAATTATTATTATTTTTCAAATGTTAGAATTAAACCTTTTGATTTTTATGGCCTGCAAATGGGATCTAGAGAATTTATACTATTGAGAGAATAGTTTTTTAGTGGATTAGTAATCTAAATAATTGTATACTTTGTGCTATTATCAAATGTTAATTTGAGGCAGGCACACAGTAAACATTCAAAAACCAATTTGGTTTTCCTATACATTATTGCCTCAATATAAGTAAAAATGTATTTAATAAGATGCTTTCTAAATTCTGTATTAATAGGATGTTTTGCATGTACCACCTACTGAATATTCCTTTATTAAAGATAAACTTGAGTTCTGGTAAAAAAATAAAATGAATTCTCACAGAATCTAACGAAACGTACACTGAATGTTCAAGATTACAAATAAATGTCATGTGCCAAACAATTTTGGAAGAAAATGTATACTGGCTGAGTAATGAGCATAGAAAGATAAGGAAATCTGGGTAGTACTAGCCCCGACACCATGTGTGTTGTTCCATATACATCTATCTGTGTAAGTGATTGTTACTTTACCAAGACTCTGCCAAATTTATGATGATTTTGATGACTCTAGAACCTTGCATTACACACCATTACTTACATGGTATATGATCAACTTTTCTGATCCATTCCACACCTTTTCTTTCATAATGCAATCTCATTACCAGTACTCAAGTTTATCTTTAAAGTTTTTGTACCATTCATCCCTCATTTATAATGAACAGTTAGTGACGGCAGCTGTGCATGAAGATGGCTATGAGCTTAGTCTGACGGTATGCTTTGCTCTAAGAGGGTCGAAAGATGCTATGACAGGTAAACCTCTAGGAATCACCAAGTCAACATTACTAAGTGATGTGACAGAGGGAAGGAGAAACAGTACAAGTAGTCCTGGTGAGTAGAAATTATACTGTTCTTAGATATATTAATGTGTTGAGAACGGAAGGTTTGTCTCGTGAGATAGGGGTAAGAAAACTGCTAGAAATTGTTTTATTCAAACTATTTTAAATGTATATTGATGATTAAAATGCCTAGTCTATCTTGAAGTTACTATTTAAGAAGAGACAATACTAATCTTTAATGTATGATGGATTTATGATGTCTATTCATAGAGGATGAACGAGTCTTCATGTGATGCATGTACATACAATACAAGGCTGGACACTAACAGGGGATTGCTACTAGGAGATTCCCTAAATTTCACTTCAACTACCCCTTCCCCCCTCTCCCCCCCCCCCCCCCCCCCCCAAACACCACAATATCAAAAATGAAAAAGGGCATGGATTTCATGGACCCCCATTACAAAAATGCACAGAGCCATTAACCATATCGGGTAGTGTAAATAATTTTGTAATCAGGGCAAGATTTCAAAAGTTATAGGATTTGTATATTCAGTACAGAATACAATTTTGGGCTTGACCAATGACCAGTATATATTTCCTCTTCTTCTTCTTCTGATTAAGTCTGCCTCCTTCAATTGACTGAAGATTCTTGCAAACTATGTGCATTTGTGTGAACCGCAATTTACGTCCATTCAAGTGCTATTTACATTATAATACATTTTATTTACAAATATTGACAAGCTCATGTATTTAATGTATACAATGTATTCCTATTTGATTTGTACATAGTTACTCAAGAGAGACCTTCAAGTGGTAACAGAGAATCATCATCTAGGAAAGACTCTCCTAAGAAAGAGACTCCTAAGAAGAAAACAATCAAGAAGAAACCTGTCAATGAGAAACTTACAGTAAGTAGATTGTTTCCATTGTTATTATAGTACACTAAAATGAGATAATAAAATCATGTAAAAATTTGAAACCTTTCATGAATGGAAACTAAATTATTGTCCAACAAAATTATGTACTTCATGGAAGGAGGAAGAGTTTAGTGTCTTCACACATATCAACTCAATTCTAATACAGCTATTTAAAATCTTGGTTTACGGTTTCTTTATAAAACTTTGGTAATAAGAAACATTGAGCTAGAAACATTTTCTGCCTTCAATTTATGGGTATATCCTCTTGTATGTGTTATTCAATGCTTTCAAATCAAGGTCATTCTGTACACTGGCCAACTGTGAATTAAGTCGCACTAAACGTGGGTGAAGTATCTGACCCCCTTAACAATTCATGAATGTTGTAGTGATGATTGATCAGACTTATCATCTTGTGAAAGTCACATGAATAATGTGATCTTGTTCACAGGGCATAGTCTCTAACCCCTATGATTCGATTCAACCCGGATGACCTGTTCTCGTAAATCAAACATAGGATTCACTCTATTGTCTTTAAGAAGCAGTAAGGTATGAACTCTGCGATAAAGGATATGGGTCAAGCCCCTCTCTGGTTTTAGATTTAGTAGATGCTATCTTCTTTGGTTGCTACTTAACTTTGGTACTACTACCATGTACAATAATGGCAACATGTGCAGTACTTATAAAGAAACACATTACCATTCTCTTCATGTTTTGGATACAGAAAATTCTAATCTGTTTAAATGCACTTGAAATCTACAATATTAATATTTGGCAGAGGTAGCATACAAAAATATTGAACAATTTATAACACACCCATTTATAAAACATTGCTTTAAAATAATGTTCATCTTTCTTTTTGCTTATTATGTAGCTTTTAAGAAGAAAAGAAATCTTTCATTGAATCGTGCTATATCCTATATGGCAACATAAATCAAACACATTTGAAATATGAATTTAAATTTTCACCAACACATTGCATGAGCTTTGGAGTTCAAGAAGTGTTTGCTAATATAGAAGAGGTAAAGATGAAGTAAGCAACACACAAAGTTACAATATATCCTCAGCTGACAACAAGTTCAATTCAATTTGGACAGGGTGGCAATAATTGTCTGAGCTTCACAAGAATGTCTCCTTACTGTTAGTGAATTAATGTTCCTTATTCTATTTTCATTGTAACAGCCATATGACAAGGATTTACTAAGAGAAGTTGGTCCAAGAGGAGATGGAGATGAGGAAGAGATTCAGAGTCTATTTGAAGAGGTAAGCTCATAAACTCTTTCATGTAAATCACTTAAATACTGTTTGGTAACAGTTTGTTGTGTGACATAGGCTACATGTAACACTGTATGGTCGAAAATTGCCACAGGGTAGATTTTATTGTGTTTTTGATTTGATTTTTTCCTGTATTCTTTTGTCTTTTATGCCCATTTTGTCATTTGTGCAATTCATGTATGTCTGTATAGTATCCAATTGGTTGCATTAATGCTTGATTTGCTGAGAACTGTTTAATGGAGCAATGATCTTATGATGAAATCTAAAGTTTGAAAAGTTTATTAGTTTTATGTATTTGCACAATTTTTTAATTGTTTTTACATTTCTGTATCACTTTGAATTTGCAACTTTCCTAAAGGCTTGTGAAAAAAGAATGATATATTTACCTATTGTTGCATTAAGCAATAAAGCAAAACTGACCAATATTTCTTTTAGGATAATTTATATATTTTTTAAATTGTAAAACTCAGGGTAAACTTACAAAATAAGCTTGATGGGGTGCAAGAGTGCATGTCTGCGTGCGAGGTGTTATACAGCTTATTTATGTCATATTCAGTATGTTTCCCTTTCATATCAAATCATTTATACTTCCCTCAGAAGATTAAAATTCCTTGTCTAACTTTAGACTATAAGGGTGGATGTAGATTTGGGGGGGGGGGGGGGAAGGGAGAATGAATTCAATATACTGAATCCAGGTGGACATTTATATTGTGCAAGTGCTATTTAAGTTAGAATATAAATTCAATCATACTGGTGTCTTTTTTAATTTTTTTTAATTTAAAAAAAAATCTAACTAAGTTAGCTGCATTTACCTATATAAAACATAAGGATTTTTTAGTGCACAATGCCAGTATAATGCCCATTGCCAACTTTTTGTTAGTGTATATTTTTACGATTTCTTTTATAGATGGCAATTGATAAATATGAAGTAATAAACACATGAGGGTGTAAAATTTAATCACACAATATAATGTAACATGATAAATCAAAGGGGGATGGAAAAAAAAGAAAGGGGAAAAAAAGTATAGATAAGAAAATAAAAACTTGTTTTGAATACTTACAGAACTTCAACAAAAGGGGGAAAAGAGAAAGAAAAAAAAAAGGAATAAAAAGGAAGAAATGATAAATATGAAAATGGAAACATGATTTGAACTCTTTGACTTAATGTCTGTAAATGTGAAAGTAAACTGTTGAACATATTAGATGAGAATGTATACAATAGGCATACATGTACATCTTCTGAGAGATTTTGCAAATGACACTGAGACATGGGGTTGAACTTCCATCTAAGTGAGGTCTATTTAAGGTGAAGTTGATGCACTGAAAGTTATGTGGTGCCCTCTAGGGGGCAATAAAGGCACACTTCAATCACTTGCCTGCGTCAATCACACCTGCAAGCCATCAGGCACAGGTCAGGTCAGAGGATAAAGGTCAAGTTGTATATTGAGCATGACTGGGGCCAGAGACAGGAGAGTTTGATTCAATGAAATATTGTGTGTTTAGGGATTAAAGGGGACTCTATGATTGTGCACTAAATTCCATTGTCCAAATATTTATAATGAGATCAAGGAGAAATGGCTTCTTTTTCTGGTCTTAATACATATTCACTTTGGTATTGGACAAGAACTGAGGGGGTGGTCGGGTGGGATGTCATATGTGCATAATTAGAGAAAATAATTAGGACGGTGGTAAAAAGATGTTAGGGACTACATGTATATGTTTTCTAGTAATATATACATTTATGATCGTTCATTTTTTTGTTTTGTTTTTTGTTGTTGAAATAAAAGACTGTTTTTAACTTTGTCAATGTACAAAGTTGTGAAAGTTGAATATTTGTGTCCATTTATACATCTTATAGATAATTTTTGTTTTAAATAGCAATAGAGAAATCAATTTTAATAGGAAAATTGATATCTGTCATCATCCAATTTTACTATTAGGTACATTGATATTGTTGCAATCAGTTTTTGTTATGATTAGCCAGCAAGCAAGCTTTCAATTTGGAGATGATTTGGAAATATAAGACAAAATCATATTTGTAAAACAAAATGTGTATTTGACTAAAGTTACATTGTTGTGATTAATGAGAATATGGAACAGCTCATTGTATATCAATAGGTTACAGTGAATACACTGTATGACTGGTAGTTATACTTCAGATACTTATTATATTATTAATCATCTGCCAAATTCAAGCTTTATACTGTATCTGGATTAAAGATGGGTATATCAAATGCTGAATTTTCAGCAGCAAATCATACTGTTTACAGTTTACAAGATGTGAAAATGCTGATGTTTAGAAATTCATTTTATGATCTTGTAGTAGCCTGTGAACAAGTTTGAGCAGCATTTAAACTGTAGCTCTCTAGGGTCAGATTCTGCTGTTGCCAAAGAAATCAAATTCAGGAGAAAAAAATATGAATACGGATCAGCAAGCGCAAATAGGGCACTCTGCTTCAAAGACACAATAAAGCAGTTCTAGACATCAATGGCTGCATCGTTGAGTGTGAGACATCAAAAGGAATATTCAATATACCGACCTGTCAATTTAGGTCTGGATTAAGGGTTTTACTGTTGCAATAAAATGCTTTTTATGGTCAGCATCAAAGATACTCCACCCGATACAGCCTGGAGGAAAGAAAGAAAGAAAGAAACAGATGTCCTCTGTAGAAGAGAAGAGATTTGATTGTAACATGTGATCATTATAATGCTTCTGTCACATCTAGAGTAGGCGGTATCCTTTGAAGTGAGATACATGTATTAAAATCTGTTTTGGTGGGCACAGATAGAGAGAGGACTGTGTATGCTATTGATGCATGTTTATGATGAATATGATTGGATAAGCAGGCGGTTGCTGTGAAAGAAGAAATTATGAGTTCTGGGCCCCAGTTGCATAAAACTTTCATTTGAAACCTTCATTTGATTGGCTGTTTAATGATGTTGCTATGGTAGTTAATATTGGTGGTAAAGTTACCATCAATGATAAGTGTTATGCAACAAGTGCACTGGAATGTGATATACTAGACATCTTAATCAACACTACATCCCCATTTTCGCCCTGGTTTATTTCAGCAGAAATTTGGGGGAGGGGAAAATGAATGGTATTATTATTGATATACTTATCCATGGTACCATGATCCTCTTTCACTAATAAACAAATCATACCGTAATTACAATGTATATTATGTTTATGGAATAGACATGTACAGAAATAACTCTGTACAGAAATAACAAGAGCAGTCTTTGACTTTGAAAACTAATGATAAATATACAAATAATTGACCCAGTGAACTTAAAATTTCAAGCAAAATACTGCTTTGGTTTTGATTAAGTACATGCACATGCCATTTTTAGTATTATTTTTATTTGTTAAAGTTTTAATATATTTAAGGTCAGTTATTGGGCATTTTAGAGAGACTTCTCGAGACTTGATCTAACTCAATTGTCAAGTTTCACAGAAAGGGTGCTCTATAATGTAGAAGCTAGTTCAGTAACCAATATTGTAGAAGTCAAACCACAAGGTGTATAATCAGTTTGGTATTGTGAACTTAAAAGAGATTGATGCATAAGCCCAAGGCAAGAGTATTCAAATTACAAAGTGCCTTCTATGTAGTCAGCACTAGCATAAATGGATCAATGGATGGAGTGCTACTCAATAGTACACATCGCATAGCTCTTAATAGATGATTTTGCAAGGAGTAGTAGAATTATAAATTGGTATTCCCTTGAAGGAAAGGCACTTTAGTCAGTTTCTTTAGTGCTACAATTGCTCCTCATGGTTGAGATCTCTTAATCATGCAGAAATTGATATGGCCATGAACTGATTCATTTTTTGCTTTGATTGTATTTTCAATTTTATGACCAATCTTTTTTCATTGGCCCAATAATTGCAACATTTTAAGCTCTTTTATATTCATACTTTTTTTCTATCAGTTGATATGCAGCTCGGGTAAAGTTAATCATCTATCTGGACATAAATTTTCATTAATGGAGTTCTAGTTTCTTTATTTTTATCTTTTAGTTATTTCTTGTTATATAAATTCCCTTGTCTTTTTTTCTTTCACTCTCTCTTTCTCTCACTCTCCTCTCCTATCCCTTTTTCTATCCTTCCCACCTCTTTCCTCCCCCCTTTCCCCCTCTCTCTCTCTCTCTCTTTCTCTCTCTTTCTCTCTCTCTCTCTTTCTCTCTTTATTTTCTCTTTCTCCTCTCTGCTTGTCTCTCTCTCTGTCTGTCTCTCTCCATCTCTCCCTCTCTCTCTATTTTCTGTAACCCCCCCCCTCTCTCTCTCTCTCTCTCTCTCTCTCTCTCTCTCTCTTTTCTCTCTAACCCCCCCCCCCCCCCCCCTCTCTCTCTTTCAGGGAGCTGACCCAAACAGTGAGAATGCTGATGGTCTTCCTGTTCTAACAGTGGCTGTGCTCAACAAACACTTTGAGATTATACCAGCTCTCATCTACCAGGGTGCTGATGTGAACAAGAAAGTTGGACAGTAAGTCTTCACAACAAACCTTCACTATCTTAACCCTTTCCATACTGTGGATGCTAAATGCTGCTCAAGTATCTTAAATGTTGTACATTCTATACTATGAATTTCTAGTAATATTTTCTTGAAATAGAGAGGAATATGAGTTGTGAAGTTCACCTAAAAAATATGCCATGCCAGATTTAACAGTGAAACAAACGAAAACCAGGATGCTTCAATGAATGCATCAGAGGCAGGGGAAGTACAATTCAAGCATCTAATCTCATCCTACCTGTCATGTGATTAGTCTTAATAACTTACTGCAGTACAAGGACTGACTCAGTTTAACAAAAATTCACATATGTACCCAACATAATACAAATGCTTAACGGGCTAGGTTTATTTATCAGCCTTCAGTTTGTTACTATATAATCTTTTGGCTTGCTTTGCAGGAAAGGAAACACTGCCCTCCATGAAGCTGTTCAGCTTGGATACGATGGCAAGAAGGGCGTGGTCACTCTCCTTAACAACGGAGCCAGTGCTAAGCTGAAGAATAACCGTGACGAGACACCTGCAGCGATGGCTACCAGGCTGGGCAATGAGAGTATCATCAATGTGTTCACCTCAACAGCAGGCCAGGGTATGCTAGACAGGATCAAGAAGCAAGCCTTGGGAAAGACTAAGACTATTGGTGAAGATGATTTCTGAGCAACTCTTTCAAGAATTTGCTAATCTATATTGGTCATGATGATGATTAAAATGGTGGAAATGTGATTTACATTCCAAGTTTCATAAAATGAATACCTAAGTACAATATACTCTTGATTTTGACGTATGTTGACCACATATCAATAAGTCCCTTGATTTTAACATCTTAACCTCCCCTAATTCCATATTCTATGGCTTTCTAGTACATTTTAACTAATTGCACTTTCAAAGTGTATGGTAATCAAAGTAAAAAGTTTTTGTATCGATTGGAATTTTATACAATAATGAAATAACAAATGTCAAAAACAGGCTACAAAAACAGAACAAAACAAGCAAAACAAACCCTTAAGATTAAGTGTTTATCAAAGGCGCTACCGAGATGAATGTCGTAACTGCTCGTCACTGAAATCTGTCTTTGTATTGATATGTTTTGAAGCCGACAACACTTTGCCCATGATTCGTGTGGTTTTTGGCATATTTTGCCAGCGTCCTTTAACCCCGAACACCATTTTGTAGATGGATTGCTAACCAGATTTATTAAATTGTTTGTGATATGTCATGCAGGCTAGCTGTGTGAATATTAACAACAGTGACCATTGGTTAGAAGTTGCCATTGCGCCATTCATTGTATGTATTGAACAAAGATTAGTGGTATTGGTTACCTCAAATTTCCAGGATGTACTATGTTGCACCGTCCAAAAACAATGCAAGCAATATGATGTGTTCATCAATTTGACTTAAATTGAAATTATGATATTGAATTGAAATCCCTTAGGATGATGGTCAGTTCAAGTCATTGCATCAAATGACTGTATTTTCAATAGTAATTTTATGCTGCAATTTATAGAATTATGTATTCATTGATGACTGTATTCAAGCTTGTGCATCTTACAAAACCTTGTAGAACTACTTGTATATATATAATGAGATTTATATCAATTACTCTGTATACTGTGAGCTTTAGCTTCTTCAGTTTGATAAGATCAGCTGTTGTGAACACAAAAGCATAACAACAACAAAAGTGTGAGGAACATTGAAGGATTATCAGAACTCATTTAAATCCAGTTTATTTGAATAGATGGAATTAGTCTTTGGTTTTGTAGTCCATTACTTTTCAGTATGGAAAATTGAAGATGGGAATTTCTTTCCATTTTTAATGTAGATAAAAGTGTGCTATTAAATAATATGTTATGCTGCCTTGATTGGAGCTGTATGAAGTATGAAAGGGAATCAATGTTTAATATGGCATCATGCTCCGATGAAATAATATCTTCTTATGTTCCTTCCATCACAGAGATGGTCTGTCCTTTGCTAAGATATGATACTTTACAAGAGCATACAATATTGATTGGCTGAATACTGATTATTTTGTCTTTAGACTACACATTCTTTATGAAAATACATTTGGATTATCAAACAGTAAAGCTTTAGTAAAGATCTTTTCAAGAACCATAACATCTGCCCTCAGTGAAAACATAGTAGATTCTTATATTTACTAAAGATCATATAAATGCATGAATTATACAGAACAATAAGGCATTGTTTCTTCAAATTCAATTATAATGAAATTGTAGTGACTACGCTTGCAATATGTGGAATGAGATGAGTGATTATGATATATAAACGATATTGGTTTAAGAAACTGATATATGTGAGATGGAAGCATGCAGGTAGGAAATGCATAGAGATAGGTTGTGGAAAGATCTCTTCAAAGAACTTAAAGGAATGAAATCTAAGCATTCATGCAATAGTGTTATATGTGTAGATGGAAGCCTAAATTTACCACGTACAATTTCCCATAAACTTGTGGGCTCTTTGCATCTTTGAGGTTGTGGCAAGTATGTTGCAGTATTCAAACATTTTATTCATTATTTGAAAGCTAAAACAGTTCTAATTAGTAATATACAGGGTGTATTGAGTGAATGTTGTGACTTCTTGCTAGATAACTAACTCATAGTGCAAGTAAATGTTCTACTATGTATATTTTATATTGCTTTGTGTTTTATAATTTCTGAAAATCTAAACCTTGATGTATATAATGTTTGTATTGTAAATTATTGTGCAATTTACTATGGCATTCTGATGGCTGATGTAATTGATCTACGAAAACTTTGAAAAGTCTTTTCGAGTGAAATAAAATGAAATTAAATGAATGTAAAGTCTTATGTTTCATGCTTGTCTGTCTAAAATTGTGATGGGGATTGGGCAAAGGGTGTCCTTATAAGTTGAATCCCTGTTCTTTAAGAAAAGCGTTTTTTTTTTTTTTTTAGAGTGATGGTACGAAGGATATAATCTTACCAATATTTGTTGTGCTTTAAGCAAGAGATGTGTTAACTGTATGTAAATTATATGAATTAACCCCAATGTGGCTCTTATCCAACAATGATACAGTAGAACCTTATTATAGCAAAGTCATTGGGACAAGTGAATCCTTATTATATTAGAGCTAGAAATGTATAGAATACAAAGAAGTGGAACCGGCAAAGTTACCTTGTTAAAACAAGAGTTTGTTATAAAAATGTCCTTTTTTTACAAGGCTGCACTGTATATGAATTATTTATTTATTCATATAGGTAAAATAATGAGTACACATACTGTGAGAGTTGTACTTTTCTTTCATAATACATGTACTAGGGAAGGGAAGATCATGGTGTTCTGTTTCTTGAATCATCACATCCCTTTAACCATTCCATGAGTCCTGCTGCCACACTGAACACATCATCTGCTCGGAGCCAGAAGGGCATTAACCCATCACAGCACATAGAGCTAACACCCTTCTGCCTCTCAGCGGAGGACATTTTGATCCGTCTCTAACATCTCTGTCAGGATGGAATATTTGAGATGAGTTTCTATGCAAGCCAGGCATGCAGAGTTATTAGGTCAGTGTTTATACCCTGCTTCCTATGTAGCCCTTAAAGGGAGAATATAGGGTTTGGAGTACGACCCTATTTCAAGAATTGTGCTATGCTCTGTCGTCATAATGTGCTCACAGCCAATCAGATGTCATGATTTCAGTAGCTTTTATCAATTATTATTACTGATTAGTCATGACAGTTTGGATGACAGGAGAGGCAAGTAACTTGTTTGGCATATGAATAAGCCTACACCCTGATTGCTCATAATGTTCTAGCAAGTTTAATGTTGGAACTCTGATCCCAAAAGTGTTTAATTTGTTTGAAAAAGAATTCGAATAAAAAGATATTTCATTAGAATATGGTTTTAGAGAAGGGAGAAAGGTTTCAAGAAAGGACACTCGTTGGTTCATGTTGAGGACTGACTTCCATCTAGTGTCAATGTACATAGGGTTTAACAATTCTTTCATTTGAATGATATACTTAATCTATTGGCCCTCGTCAGAAAAAATATACGAGTTTCTCCCCTAAATGTAGATTAAAAGTTTAACTTCATAAAGAGCGATGCCAAGGCCGGGAACGGGTTATCCGAACCGTACACACCATATTTTCAAACTTTTCCTTTAAACTTGGAAGAGGCATTTCTCGTTGCAGGCAATATTTGATTTGTGCCATGTGAAGACAGCGATATGTTTTCACAACACGTTATGTTGCGTTAGAATAATGTTGACATCAGATTGAATTTAATGTTGACATCGATATGAACTGTACTTTGTGAGTGGAGCTGTAGGAGATTGTTAGGGGAGGGTCCAGAAAATGGTGCGTTTGATGGAAGGTGTGGTGTGGTGATGCTTTTGCTACTGATGATTACTGCGATTATCATCTTTTAAAATAATAAAGAGATTTGAATTTAAAAGAAAAAGTCGGGTATTGGGGAGAAGTTCTCTTGTAAGGACCGTTCAAGAGGTAGACTCTCTTTACATAATTATGATGTTCATAATGGTTCCTCGGTATTTACTGAAACTGCAAATATTTACGAATCAAAAAAGTTGAACTAACAAATATGGTTTCTCGCAATCATAATCTACAATGATGTAGTTAAGTATAGGCCTAATAACCTTCAATGAAAATGGTCTTGGAATCATGCAGAATAACTGCTTGTAGTCCTGCATGGATCCCATCTTACCAAATCGGCTTTAGTTCAATCGCCGTTCCCACAGTGAGAAAAGGCGATTGTAATTCTTGAGTCTTATTAACTTGCTCTATACTTTTGTCAATATCTCATCGGTATTATTGGACTGACCCCCCCCCCCCCCACCCCATTGCATTCTTTCTAGTTTGTACTTTCAATCTTCCAACCATCCAAGGACGTTAGATGGTAGGACACCTGCAGTCATCGTAAGAGGTGGGGTTGTGGTGAACTTTTTGCGATCTCGTGGTTGAAAGAGAAGAGGCATTTAGGTATGCCGGTAAAAAGTACCGTCCACACTGACCCATCCACGCACCATCACAACAAACATGGACGGATGAAACCCTTCCACTGCATGTCTTTCGGAGAAGCTCTTCATGTGGACTGTGGTTTACCGGTCGTGTGCAACTAAAGGTACCAAGGAAATACCGGCAATGCAAACGAGGCTTTTAGCCTTCTACCCACCGGCATCGTGTAGCCAACATGTATCCATTTTCGCCACTGCGATTTGGGCTTGTGTTTCAATTCCTAACGGACCGACAGAGAGAAACGAACTTGGGATTGAATTCCGCTCGGGTCAATTGTTGCTTGAAACGCAAGGGATATTATTAGCCCTTGATACGTTCCTCAAGCCACGTTTTTTCCCACTGTAGGGTAGTCGTCCATTTTGTGCCCCCTTTTCACAACTTTTTCTTTTCTTCTCCTTCTTCAGTCCTTTTAATGCGGAGAGATTGTGATATTAAGAGCCATATGAAAATTAATATTTCATGTGTATATTCTTGAAAGGAGTAGATAAATAGCAAGGATAAAAGGAGAGTGTGGATATAGAGGGGGAGAACAGGAAGAGTAAGAAGAGAGGTTGAGAGAAGAGAATATAGGGAGGTAATGATTGTGAAGAAATGTTGCAGAATGTTTTCCTCGTTAGAATGTAATTCATTTATCGCTATCGATGATGATGCAAAGCGGTGTGTATGCCTAATCAACGACTAAAGGAGTCTTTCCCAATTTTTTCCTATATTAATAATCTTCTATGGTCACGAAACAGATGCAAAGAGAGAGCAGTATATATTGAACTTTTTGTGGAGTGTGATAATTGAAAAGGTGGTAAAAGAGATGCCGTGCTCGGACTGCTGAGGGTTTTTCCATCTTTGTGTTTTGCTATCGTCACTATACCAACAAAACGCAGTCCCGTTGAGACCCGCCCCCTTAAAAAGAACGAGTAGTTGAGGTAGAGAAATCGTAAAATGTTCCAGAATTAACTAGGGACTGTGTATTCATATAGCTACCATTATCCCTTCTCAAAATTCATTAGGGATTCGACCAAAATCTCTCTTTCTCTCTCTCTCCTTCTTCTCCCTCATTCTTTCTCTTAATTTCTCACTCGCTTTTTCTCTATGTGGTTTTCCCGCGCCTTCCACCCCTCTCTCTATATACACTGCTTGAAAAGCATAAAGCAGCTCAAAGTTCGAACACTTTTTTCACGCACGAAACAGTTTAAGAGACGTATTTGGGACTGAATCTTAAACGGAAAAAAAAGTTCATACTCTTTGCATGCTTCTTCAGAGATCTGGAAATGTACCATGTTGTGTTGAATTTACAGCTCATCCCACCTTTAACAAAAAAGCTCCAGTATTTCATTTTTTTTAAAGTGAAAATGTGGAGTTGAGTAATGGTCCCTTCTCAATATACCATCTGAGTTTAGCTGATGTTATTCACCGCTATGACGTATCAAGTAAAGCTTAAAACCATGGAATGTATACCACTTCAATGCTACACTGTCAAAGATGTGATCTTAGCATCCGTTTTTTGTTGATGACTGAAGCACGATACAGGTGCGCTGCTGGATCAAGGAGGATTAGGCTCCAAGCCTTACAAAACACCAGACGATCTCAGGTAAGACGTGCCGAAAAGGCGGGAAATCGGGAATGCATAAACATCAAAGAGATTACCGTCTGCCCTGTGTATTCGCTTTCTCTGTATCAATTACACAACTTATTACTTTACAGATTCATTTCATTTCTCTGTTCATATTTCTATATGACATTTAATTTACAGAAGCTATTTATTTTGAGGATATTTTCCTTTGGGAAGACTTCTTAGCTATATAAGTAAAGTCCATTCTGCTTTTATTTCAATAAAGCTTTTGACTATAAAACCTGTTAACTTTTAACCATTATATTTCAATGTATGCATTTTCTCCAGAACACTTGTTACTCTTCGTTACCAATTTCATTCACCCGCTATGCATACGGCATCTTTAAAGATGGAATCAACTTTGCATACATTAGTAGTCGATAATGTCTGACAAGCTTTCGAGTTGTCAAAGAGAAACGATAGTTCAAGGATCAATATAATGAAACTACTCATTATTCGGACTAATGTTTTTTTTTAATTGCCTTTCCTTCTTAAGACCAATATGATTTCAAAGCAAAGCAATGTTATTTAGGTGTATATATTATTTCGTTTTCCTCTAAGCATGACAAAGGTCTACTGTTGAATCCTGAGTCTATACTTTGACAAGACGCTTCCAAAAGTGAAAGTAGAGCATCATGTAACTGGTGTAATAAATAAAACAAATCCAACCATTGCTAACTTCGGAGAAATGCGTTAAAAGGAAGCAATTTATCCCAAACCGAACCAATTTGCTAAAGTAGCTTTCCCGTGAATGTCTTCCATTTTGACCACGAGGCACGATGTATGGAAGTGAACGCGTCAATAAAATTCGAGTGGTAGAAGATAGTTAGTGAAGCTCTTCAGGGCGAGTCTTCTGAAGGTACCGCCTGGGTCATAACAGCTCTTGGAAATCACTTGAACGGTTTTTATAAGCCGCCCGACTGAATCGCAGGGGGTACTTGAGACAAGTAAAGCGAGAGGGATGACAGGAAAATTCGTCGTACCGCGAGAAGGGGAGCATCTCTGTGAAGAATTTGGTATACTGACAGATACACATGCACATCGTATTGTAGTAATATCTAACGGAGCAATAAAAAAATTCATCGAAGTCTATTGTTGGTATGGTGTGACATGTTGCGGAATATAAGGGACAGAGTAAAATGAAGCCATTTAAAAAATCTCTACAACCCTCAGAGGAAACCAAACTTTTGAAAAGTCGAGGTAAGACTTATACATAATTCGCATTATACTTAACTGTATGTTATTGGATGTGGTCAAGAAACCTGGCACATTGTATAATTATCCAAAATAATATTTTGTCATGTCTTTGAGTTCTCTTACTATCATCTCGGTCCATGCCATTTTTCTTTCTATCTTCTGACGTTAACTTGTCAGGTAACTAACGTCCAAATTCCTTTGGTGAACTATTTAACCTCGATGGCGTTCGATTATCGTACATATTATAACATGATTTTTGTTAAATAATTCGTGGGTTGATTTTATTTCGCCATGTTATTTGCATTTTAGAAATGTATGAAGTTGTGTAACCCTTTTGTCTTATATAATCACACACACAAGACCGATATATTATTCTTTTAAAAGAACTTTTTACTGCTGAATGAAAAAGCACACAGAACATTCTCCATGAGTATTCTCATCCAAGATTATCATGTGCTCTTCGTTTTCTACCAGATTCATAGAGTATATCGTGCAATTCATGAAAGTATTTACAATGACTTCATATTTTATTGCAAATGACGAGGTGATGTAAAAGAAATCATTCACTGTGAATGATTGAATTAAAAATTTACAATTTCTGAATGAAAATAATTTGATCAAATTCATTTGAATTTCTGTAGTTTAAGCATCTCATTAACAATATTAGTAGATAGTGTTACTCTGTTTTCTTTCAAAGATTATGATATCATAATCTTGGAAATATTATGCATATTCTGAAAGACTTTTTCATGCAGAAAACCACCCTCCCCCCACTACGATTGTGACCCTTTTCAGCCCGATCGGCACAGTTTTATACTGACCAGTCGTTCCTTGGTGGTTTCTTTTCTTTAACTTTATCGAACAAGTGTCAAGTGGTATAGGCGAAGCGACCCTAATGCATATACACCTTTTTACCGCAGTCACACCGAAACCGACACCAGACCAAACAAAAAATTACATTACCACGAATGGCCACGAGTCGTTTGATATGGGGTCGGTCTAATCAAGGAGGCTGATGTCGGTAGTGGCGGATTGATATAGATCAGTCACACCAACGAGAACGACAGATACAGACCGAACTAAAATAAGATAATAATTTTCCCGAATAGCCAAAAATGGATCGGTTTGGAGTGGATTTGTAGTCGGTTTGGCGGTGTGACTAGGGTCAATGGTTTACCCTATAGCGGTCAACTTATGAAGGAGATCGTAAAGAGAAATAACACACCTTCAAACTGTAGTCGTTCCATTCCTAGTATTCTATTCTGTTCATTGTAACGTACGCGTGATACCATCATGACTTGCGAAGAAGGTTGATGACCTCAAAGTGTACGTGTTGTCACAGTAGGGGTTAGGGCAGGTATTCACATTCCTTACTAAATCCCAGAAAATATAGGTGAGAACTTATTAAAACGTGTACCGTAGGTGCTCAACGGAAAGAGAAAAGCATCGACAAAGTTTAGAAGTTCACAGGTAATAACATTGGAATTCTTCTTCAGTTATGTCGTTTTGTTAAACATTTAAATCTCTTAAAAAATCATCCTATACAAAAGTCATGTGGCTAAGTGTTAAATGTTTTGAAAATGAAAATGTTATCGTGCAATTTGTGCTAAGCTGATTTCACATATTTTTGTCTAAGTTCGTATTGGCAAAAAGGGTGTAGAATGCAGCGTAAAATTACCTTGAATTGTCCAATATTTATTTGCTTTGTTTACCGAGGTTATTTCGCAGCTTCCAACGCTTTGTATTGATGTTGTACCATGTAGTATGTTGTCTTAAAATTTTAGGCAACTTTGATGAGAAAATCGGCGTAGAGCTTGTAATGTTCTTTCAAGTAGTTCATGCTCTAGAACTGACGAAAGGTGAATGACACAGCCATTGAAGCTCTTTGTGTTCTTGGCGAAAACAACAACGTACTCTGAAACGTATCTCCGACTCATTAATATAATCTAGTATTAGTCTCCTGATGGACTAACGGCAATCCCTGAAATAAATCTAAATAACTGTATTTTAACGCCAATTCTTCTTTCATAGTGGTGCCGACAAGGAAAGCGAGGCATGCAAAGCTCGATAGATAGATTGGACGGCGCACAAAGCGAAACTCTAATGACAGTCGACCAGCTTTTAGATGTGCCGCTTTCACAGACAATAATGCGAGAATCCATGTTGATGGATATATCTGCGGTGTCGCCAAAGAAGGAGGATTTAAAAGGATAGGCTTATCATGTAATAAAGTGCGACATAAATTGGGTTATTATTAAGTATAAAACTTGAAAAGAATGAAAGATATATGGATGCTACAAAGAGATAAAAATGAGGAGTGGTACAGCAGTATCATTGACTCGCTTTCTTCTTTCGTTTTCTGATTGATAATAATCCATTCTGTAATGCAATTTATAGATTTTACTATTGTATGTATTATATGCTCTGATCTCTATATTGTCATGTATTCATGCACACGAGACCCGCTGTGATATTGGTAGTAGTCTCTTTTTTAGTAGAATAACGATCAAAGTTGTGTAAAAGATGTGTTTTATGTCCAAATAGAGAACCTAATTATGATTGGAGGGAGACGAAGGAAAACTTGCCATTTTCTGCTTGCTGACCACAAAATGATGTGGTTTTATAATGGAGTTTTAATGCTACATGCAAGGATGGTCTGTCGTCTGCTGCCACAGTGAGATGCCCAAGAATTATCTCTGTAAAAAATATACTTCTGCATAGAATTGTTCAAGAACGATGATGGTTGGTCAGAATAATATATACTTCGTCAAAACGGGCAACGTTGTCTACAATCTTTAAAACTTCAACAATGGATTTCGTAACAGCTACGCTACTTTCACTTTGTACATGAATTTGTATTGGCAGGAATGGAATAATGATTGGAAACAGGTGATTTACAATCTCGTAAAAGTTGAAATGTACATAAGATAAAGATAGGCCTACGGAAGCAGTCTTAGAGTTGATATGAACTTCAAAAATTGTAAGTAAAATAGGGAGCTATAAGATCTGATGTAGAAGCTATTAGAAGTGAGAGGGGCATTTACGGGTCAGGGGAGGTTTAGAGTGCTAAGGCAATGGGGATCAACATCGTAAATCCTAGCGCACCTGCATGGCTTTGAGTCGGGGCATGTGCGAGTCATTAACACCTCTCTGTTATACCCTTACATGCTTTACCCACAATAACCCCTTGACAATCCCTGCGGTTACCGTCAAGATCTAGCTGGACCTTGACTTCTAGCAGTTACACCATTAACAATGCAGGCGTATCCAGAAACTTACCCCAAACATGGGGGAGGGGGAATTCACTCCGAATGTGTGTGTCTGTTTGTATTGATTGGGGGTGTAAATAGTGTTTCTGGGTAGTCCATAATTATAATGCCTGTGGACATAGCCTTTAAAATGGTGTGGGGGGGGGGGGGGGTATGCCAGCTGTACCATAATGCTGGATATACTTATGCTGGAATTGTGTACCAAAGCTGACAGAGACTTGGGGGATGCATGAGCTACTCTAATTTCTTCAACATTGCGAAACATGGTGCGATTTTTTTGTTTGAGTCTTCGAAGTATTTTATGATCCCCCCCCTTGTAGAATTTCTTTGCAGTCATTTCATACAATGCGCTGTTGTATTTTCCTGTCATTAGCAACATTCGAAATTAATAGCACAGTAATATTTTGCACGACGAGATTATTAAACGCGCAAAATCAAAATGAAAGGCGCCAGAAATCTTGTTTGAGAATTCATACTAATATGGCAACAGTATAATCGTAACGTACAGAGAGATAGCAATCCATGTTTCAGGAGCTGGTCCAAGGGGTTGTAACAAATTAAAAAAATATCAGAGGGGCACCACCAGAACAGTGTTGGGGGGGGGGGGGGCTGTCCTGGGAGTGCTGTGTTGACGCGCGGCTTTAATCCGTAAGGTAAAGTTGACGTTTAGTTCTTGCCGCGGCGTACGCCAGAGCGGTGCCCAGCGAGCTCCCACGAGCACCTCACTGCTTTCTTCTCCTCGTAGCAGAGGCAATTAGTCAGTGTGATTGGACGGTCTTGGTCGCTCCTCAGTCTATTGAGGGACAACCCCCACACGGACACAAAAGTAAACGAGAAAGGGGCATAAGCAAAGAGAGGAATACTAGATGGAATAGTTCGTGGTATCGAGTACTGTACGAGGGAGATTTTCATTTCGAGAACGGGTTTAGCATCGTTTGTGACTTTTTTCTAGCATGCTTTGAAGTTTGGCCACCATCTATAAGGTTCTGTGCTTCATCTGTCTCAATATTCGTCGATTTCTAGGAATCATCTTTCACAACACCTCCGAAGGATTCATGTATCTTATCTTCTACAGGTAAGTTTGTGATACGTGACGCCGAAATCTTACAATGTCCATGTAATGAATATAAAATGTGTGAACAAGAGTTGCTTGTGCCTCAGGCTCGTGGCGCCTTTTCGTGATGATTTCTTCGGCTCGACTTACAAACGTCAAGGAAAGAATAATCCTATTAGTACTAGTTCGTCAATAAGGATTTGGAACTTGTTCCAAATGCTGATTGTTGAATCTCTGTTACCGATTCATGAGGTGTTTGAATGATGGTATACTGGCAGCTTCTTTGCACCCCTGGTCTTGCTCGCCTAGCAAACCCATAATTTGAAACGGGACCGTCGACCTAGCTCAGCGATCCATTCTGATCCTGCAGCTTGCTGAGGTCCTTTCGCATCCATCGTCGACCGGCCACACTTGAGAATCATATGGAATGAGAAAATAACTTACCTTCATCACCATCACGCTTCACGGTGCAGCTAGCTCTGCCGCTAGATAACATGTCTGGAGTCACCAAATATTATGGATTAAAATGCTGTTGACTTGCCATCAGCAAGTCAAAGTTTTATATTGACATGAAATCGGAGCGAAGCTGTCCCTTCAGGTTTGAAATCACTGATAGTCAATCTGTTTCGGTTGAGCTAGATGGATCTAAACAGGTATGTCAAGTTCACTATAGTGCTCCAATATTCACTCATCATGTCCATAGTGAAAGTGATTTATGGGCGATGGACGTAATGGACAATACTTCTGAATAGTGAAGCATTCAGATTTTTATTTTGCGAAAAAAATACTCGAATTACAAAGTATGTACATGTAGGACTGTAGCGTTTTATTTAAGGATCCGAACTTTAGGAGGAAAGAAAACAAATCATAACTATTTGCTCATTAAGTCCTTTATTATGCTTTTCTCTGAGTCACGTATACCTTTTACCATCAGGCATAATAATCATTCCCCCCCCCCCCCCCCCCCAATCTAAAGCATAGATAATTTCTTTCCAAATTAAAACCTGAGTTCTTCGCCCGGCGCTTCTTCCTGAAAATTTTTTACAAATTTGTTGACTCCGTCCATTGAGGAACGTGTTCCTTTGAGTTTTAATGAAGCTTAACTCTGCAAGAAACGTGTTAATCCATCTCTAACGAAGCTTTTAATCCCATATCTGTTACACTTAGAGGTGATTGAATCCTTGGAATTGCAATAGAACTTGTGTTGGCTGTTGTTATCGTTTTCTAAAGAAGAACGGTGCCCGCCCTTTGATGTACGAACTTTCATTTCATAAGGAATGTCGGCTGGTTTGACTTTCACCAAAATGATTTAAACCTTTTTTCAACGAGATTGGGAAGGGAGAAACTCGCCTTCCAATGAGATCCTATGCAAGATATATTCAGCGTATCTATCACGCTCTCCAGTCGACGTCACCCGATCAATAACAATGCCTCAATTGTATTGATTAATTGATTGATAAATGAGTTTATTATTTATTTATGTATTCATTTATTCATTTATTAAGTGTTTATCTAGTTATTTATTTATGCTGATTGTAGATGAACCTTTCCTGACCAGTAAAAAGATATAGTAATATACGACGGTAGAGGAGTTTCTTTAAAAGGATATTAAATGCAGACGTTCTAACTAAAGGCACTTTTCCAACGGGGCCAGATGATAAACAAATCACCCTTTAGTTAATTTTGTAAAGGTCTTATTGGCTAACCTCGCAGTATTTCTCATAAAAGTGTATTGGTCATTGATAGCTTTCAGGAAGTGTGAATAATATCTCAATCAACTTTTTCTGCAAAGAAAATATTTGGGAACATCTAATCGCTTATATTTTTAATAATTTAACATTCAGATGTTCCAAATATTACATTTGAATTGAAGATGACAACTCCAGTTTGATATCGTTGAGGTGAAGGGATATTGTAGCTGTCCTACTTTATTCGTCTGTTTGTATAGGTTATAGGCCTAGAAAGGAACAAAGCCCTTTTAGAGAATGGTCTGTCAGAAACAGAAGAAAACACACAAAGAACAATAGGGGTAATCACAATTGCTTGTGATCGGGGTTTTATAAAGAACTGTGGTAAAAACGAGTACAATAGAACGGTCAATATCAGGTAGCTGTGTAAATCGACCGTCTTCTGTATAGATATCGCATGCCTTATAACGCCTCTTTCAAGAGACATGCTAGAAACGTTATATTCCATGGACCAACATTCACCAAATTGACACAAAGCAAAGGCTTTCTTTTCTGATATACATGTATCTTTTATTAAGTGTATCCTTATGTAGCAATGCTATAATGGTCCCGATCATCTATGGCAGATGAAAGCTCGAAGCACCATTCATTGGCACTGCATGCGTGATGTTTCAAAAATATATACTGTCAGTGCATCATTAGAGTTTATTGATAATTCAACGATAAAGAAAGAACAGAGAAAATCAAATTTTCGACATCGGCAGCAGAAAATACAAAATAAAAGCATGGACCCTACTATCAGTAATACAGATTACGAAAACATCTGATGTAGGGACTATTATTGGATAAATGAGAAGTTGAGCCTCTGTTAACATTCGATTACCTAATCCATGTGTATCACGTTGGGTATAATGTTCACATTAGATGGTTGTAAGAAGGATGAGTATATCGGGTAGTAGTGGCTTCTCTCTATAACAATAAGTAGCCACTTCCTAATCGTCCCTGCAAGAATGGTCAAACCCGAAGGAAGCAGAACTGGGTAGTTACCAGAAATTGGTCGAACACTGCTAGCCAGTGTTCGATAATAATAGCCAGAATGAAATATAAATGATCGTACAGTCTGAGTATAATATAATTATGATCTCGATTGAGGGAGCTTTAAGTAAGGAATTACTATTGGCTTCGTTCTGCTTCGTTTAAATGAAAACTGTCTTTCAACTATCATCATTATTATGACAACATCACTTTTATCAGATGGTAAAGAAAGTTCTAAAGATCTGGCGAATCGTTTTAATATGAGTTATTAAAGCAAAGGTAATAGTAGACGGAGTGTGAGGATGAGAATAGTTACAGATGAATCACTATAGTACAAACAATATACCCATGTAACTCAACATAATATCCTTCGTAAAACTCTAGAGTTTTGAGTCTTTTTTTTCTAGGTAGGCATCGCGGCTATCCCGTTGAGCCTTTTTACTTTCTGATTCAACCCCAAAGAAAGACGCCAACACCTCGAAAAACTCGGGCTGTTGTCACAAGTTGTTCCTATTATAGGATTTGAAGAAGAGGACAAAGCACAAGTGTGAACCCTCAAAAGTCGAAGCAGCTAGCAAGTTAGATGGTCCGTTGAATCAGGACAATACTGCTACAATCTGCAGCTAACAAGCGACCCGCCTCCACCATGCATACACAATCATTCCCTAAAAAAGAAAAGTCTTCAATTCAGCGCCTTTTCTTTTCAATACTTCTTTCCAGCACATCCTCGTAGAGTTTTCCTGTCCGAATTTAAACACATGACGGCTTAAGATTTGTTCTTTTCTTTTCCCTTTCTTTCCAAGGATTTTTCTTGTGCAAACGCTACCAGGCACGACTAATTTCTGCTTTTCAAAGCGCTTGGATTATGAAGCTGTCACAACATTTGATGCTTATTATCAAAGGGAGTGCACCGTAGGCACAAGAACGCAAAAGGACCATGTCATGCTGAAAATATTCCAGAAAGAAAAGTTGGTCTGAACTTGGCATTTTCTTTCCTCTCCTTCTCAAATCGAATCACAACTTTACTAGAGAATACATGTTGGTCTTGTTTACACCTGGTAATCGCGATGCACTGTTCCACTTAAACACCATTTCGTGCATGTGAAACTATAGTGTAAGGTGTTTGGAGAATGCGAAAATGATTAATTTGATTTAGAAATAATTCGTTAAGATTGCCCAGCTTGTTTTTCTGCTATCAGGGCAATTCCACATGGGAAAACACAATTTTTAGCTGCTACTTTTGTTTGGTCTTAGGTCTTTGGTCTTTCTTGTATCTCAAAATCTCTTAGTAGGCAACAAAACTGTTCTTACCTATGCAATTATCAGAAAACCAGTAAAGACCTTTCATTGGATAAAACAATACTCTTTTTCTTTCTTGTAGATATAAGGAGATTGTTTCTAGGAGGGAAAGGGGGGCTGGGGTCGGGTAAGGTGCAAGGCCAAAATATGCCGAATTCTTTATGAAATTCTTTTGATTCTAAGTGCAAAAATGCTTTTAAAACCATTTTGGGGTATTATAGGAAACAGAGCACTAATATCCATTCCAAATGTATTTATCCCTGATGCAAAATGTTCCACAAATCAAACTGTAACACTGCAAATGGGTTTATCACGAGGGAACAATCACCGCAAACAAAAACGTGCATTTAATTTAGGGGAACTTGGCGTAGCCACAGTGACCCTTCTTCCCGCTGTGCGAGAACCATATGGATTAAACTAACTCAACAAGAAACTGTTGCAATATATTCCCTGCATATTATTGCTACCACCTGTTACCTGATTAGTTGAACAACTATAATTCAAAATCATAGGGTCTTGACAATATAAACGAGTGTGAATTAAACAATAATTGAAACTCAGCATGTACTAAGTGTGATTATAAAACGGTTTAATAGTAGGCCCTGTGTAAATGTAAACCATACGTTTAAACACGTTTTTGTCTATTAATTATATTTTGTTCTTCAACAATCAAACATATCTATTTATTTAGGTACCATTTAAGGGTCATTTTGCGTTTTCCTCGAATGTTACTATTCCATACATCTACCCTGAAACAGTCACACATGCTTATCATGAACTTATGGGAACGAATTTTCACATTTGTCTTGCTCAAATTCCAAGGCATTTTCCATTCTTATTATTTTATGACCTTCCAGACACTGAACCCATTTAGGCCCACTAAGACCCAATCCATCAAAATAATTATATTGCCGATTTTCATATTCAAAATAAAGTTAACTATACTGTATGGGGATGATTGGGATGGGCCGATATAAGACAGATTATGAGAATATCTTA